GAGCAAAAAATATATTGAAAATTTTTTTGCACAGTACAGAAAGTTTCAATCTCATTCTTATAAACATATAATCAAACCCTATTAACGCGTAAAAACAGAGTTTTCTGATAGTGAGTTATCTGACGCTGTTTTCTGGCAGTCTAACCCACGCATGAAAGGAAAATTTGGCAAATTTTTTCATACGAATTTGGGGTTCTTCTTTAAAACGCGTTTTGGCAAATTACGGCCAAAAAAATTATAAATTTTTGGTTTTATTATTGCAAAGTTTTTAATCAGCGGAATAGTGAAAAAAATGTGTTTGAAAAACACTGAAAGAAAAACAATTTCAATCATATTTTGCTTTAAGCTACCGATGAAACTGTTAATTGCCATCATAAATGTGTTGTATATCTAATCTTAGAGCTGAGAGTGGGTAATGAAAGAGTACAGAAGGAGCCGCCTTCCCCTATCACCGGACAAACAAAACCATTTTTGTGAACGATCGCGATTTTATGATATCGACTACTTTGAAACTTTTCGTCCCTGCTCATAACAATCTCAATTCTAAAATTTTACCAATTTCAAGGGAAGTCCACGAAACCTTTTTTACACGCTGAAAATTCACCAAGTCTAAACCAGTACTTTCATCAGTGTTTAAATAGTCTATTTCATCGCAGAAAAATTTATTTGAGTCATTTGACCTGAACATATTCAGCTTGTCCCATCCCCAAAGGTCAACGGCACAGAACTCGATGTCACTGGCGACACTGCTAAGGACTTGTAGAAAAAACAAGCTCTTAGATCACTGTACCAGTATAAGTCTCCGGACATCACTTTAATGTAACCTGCCTGCAATAATTTGAAATCAATTAGTCATCGCTACGCATTGCAAAGTTGCATCGAATAAAAGTAAGCCAGCCGAAGTATAAACCAGCCGAAGTATAAACCAGCAGAAGTATAAAGGGGGCGTTCACAATAATTTAAACGCCTTTCAGAATAATTTAAACGCATTTTCTAAAGAGCGAGAAATTACTGACGGTGGCCAGTCAATAAGCAGAATGGTCTTGTAATATTCGCCCAAATACTACACAGTGATGGAGCGTAGAAAACGTACCTATTAACGACTGGCCGGCGTCAGTTACCGAAACTCTACTCGTTTTTCACCGCCTCGACCTAGCCAGTTGATTTTCTGGTCTGTCTAGGGCTAAGTAAAAAGTTACTATTTTTAGGCCATCAGTCAAACGACTTTTGATCAGCTTTCGTTTACATGCGAACACAACCACATAGCTGGGTATCGGATTCTCAGACTACATGATTGCTATTAAAAACACGCCTCGAATATCCAATTTTACTATGTTTTTAGTGACAGTTCTATATTAAATCCATTGGAGATGGTTTGACCCTTTCCTCTTTCTAGCTATTCATATTCTAAAATATCAAGCAATACCGGTGTTAATTCAAATGTCTATGGCATCAGAGTAGCTAAAAAGTCAGCTTATTATAGTCCTTCACCATATACTGTCTCTTGGGGGCCGAGCCTCCGCTTCCGTGTTTTCACTGTAACAACGTCATTAATACTCCCAATTCGTGGCACGGCAGGGTACTGCTCTCTACTCCTTCCCCACTGAAGCCTCCTTTCCACCTGTTTTCTCTGATTAGCTGTCCTATCGTGCGTGGTTGTCACGATAAGAGGCTTCGTTTTTTCTATCGTTCCCGTACGACTGTTTCTCACTATTTCAGCTGTTGTTCTGATTTTCGTCTCTTTTTGGCTCAAAATGGCCGTTTTTTGTATTTCGCAGAAATATTCGTTCGTCAATCGAAATTTTGAAAATTTAAAATTCCCGAATATTCTGACCCTCCTTTGCGGTAATTTTCAACCATTAAGGCCTCTACTTCTACTTCTGGGTTGCGTCGGAAGGTTTGCGCTGTGCCCGTCTGGCAGAATGGCACATCTAAGAGCAGAATGGGTCCAAGAGAAACTGAAAAATATTAAATTTTATAAGCTACTTTGTAAATTAAGTTTAAGAATTACACTTAATATTACCGAAGAAGCCATAGTTTATGCATAATTTGAACAATTTAATCTAGATTTTTTTTATTAATTCAATTTTAAAAAAAAACTCGATAAAACTATTCTATTCATGCATCTTTTATTCAGTTTCTTGGTATTATTGAAGATCATAAGCCCATATAAAATCAATGTAAGTTATTATTTTTCTGTTTTTGTGCTCTTGGACCCATTCTGCTCTTAGACCATTCTGCTTTTTGCTCCGCCTCCAAATGAGATTTTGAGCGAGAAAATTACTCCAATTTTGGCGCCAAAATGTCTGCAACTGCATATTAAACAATTAATTTGGTGAGAAATTTTCTCGCTTAAAATCTTTAAGTGTCTAATAAAATTGCCGCACTTAATATGTTGCCGCATTTAATATGTTGAAATTTGTTCAAATTTTCGGCACGTTTCAACAAAATTTTCATTTTCGGCACTGATGTTGAACTAATTTTTTTTCGGCACTGTTGTACTGCCCCGTATAAAGTAGCCGAAGTATAAACCAGCCTGAGTAGAAACAACCCAAAGTATAAAACAACTAAAGTTTCAGCCAGCTGAAGTATAATCAAGCCGAAAGTACTTAACTTTTTTTTCAAATTGTAAATTAAATTTTTTTTAGTTGAGAGTTTCATAATCATTATGTACATCAAATAACATCATATTTGTCGAAAACAACTCATCGAGTTAGTAACCTAATTGTAAACACAAGAAACACCTTCTAAATTGTTGAGAGCTTGTCTAGATAGTTTCTGAACTGTTTCTGTACATTTTTGGTTCAAACGGATAATGGGTGTCCTGATCGGCAAACTGTTTTTATTCTTTCGGACTGCTACGTTTGGTTAGTAAGAAGACGATTTGAATGATGATGTTCATTTCATGTTTTCGAAACACTGTGAATTTTGAATCAATTTCATGCACATTTTTAAAACAATTTGCTAAAGGCTTCAATAAATTGAAACACACTGGAAACTCTCAAATAAGAAATTTTTCTTTCGCGAGATAGCTCAAAAGGCAAAAGGTTTCACTTAGAAAAGGCTGGTCAAAAATCATAGTTCTTTTTGTTTATTTTGGCTGTGTTGTAATATGTTCGTGGAGACAATTGACTTTTTTGACAGTTCCTTAATGTTTTTGCTTTCTTATTTTGTTTTCGGTCCTTATAAAACAGACATTTTCTTTTTTTTTCATGTTTTAGAGAACCTGCTGTTAATTGCATTAAATTGATCATTCAAAATTTAGCTTCCGTTTTTCTATATCGTTCCTTAGTCTTAATAAGTACCAGAAAAACAAAGTTGTATCATAATCGTCCGGATCAGGTACCACAAATGAGTCGAGAGATATGTATCCATGCAATTGGTCTTTATCATCGCAGCCTCACCAGTCAACTTCAATGTATAAAACCTTTAAAGTTCGCTGCTGGAGAGGGAGAGTTAACACAATACTCAGGTTCGGGGACTGCAAAAGAAATAGGAAAGGTTCTTCAGTAACCGTTTTTAAAAATAATCAGAAGGTCGAAAGTATTATAGAAACCGAGGTTACAGTCAGGGGTCCCTTCATCACATTATCCAGTCAAACTCCTCGGAATTTTCTAGATCTGGAAGATTAATGTATAATGTGGATAGAAGTAAAGAGAGTCAGATGATTGTGAATCAAGCCAACCAGATTGAGAAAATTAACACCTGCACAGAATAAACCGGAGTTGAAAGTGACTCAAAAAGACTGACCTGATATGAGGCTACGGTCTATCATGTACTATTATAAAGCTGTGCTTTTGTTCTTTTGGCTCTAAAAATAAAAAAACCTCTTCGAAAGTAGTTTTTATCATTAAAAGTGCCGAGTACACAGGCAGCGTTCACAACCTGTATTCCGAGGGAGATTCTCTGCTTAAGAAAACTACCTGCCCTGGGTTCCTCGGTACACGTGCACAAGTTCTTACAAAGCTTATTCGGAAAAATCTCAGTGCTAGGGCCGGCGCACCCTGAACTTCAAAAGCTATTGGTTGAAGAATATATCCATCATTAATTAAATCTCTATATTTGTCAAATTTTCGATCTTCCGCCTCGGTCGCGGCCGTTCCGGGGATACAAACCGAGTCTGCGCTCATTCTACAGGGGCTAGGGAGTCAACTACCGTTACATCCCACAGGAGCTGCCGACCGACAGCCCAGTGACCGTTTTTAAAACATTTTTTGTCATCTCTTAAAGCTAATAAAGAAACTAAAGTATTGTATTTCTACGTTGCTGAGGCAAAAATTGGTTTTTATTTGTAGAGCCAAGGGAACGTAAACGCAGCTTAGTTCAAACATCTGATAGACCCGTAGCCTCGATATCAGGTCAAATTTTTTGAGTTCCTTTCAACTCTGGTTTATTCTGCACAGGTCTTAGTTTTCTTAACCTGGTCGACTAGATTCCCAGCCACCTCGAATATCTGTAACTCCTTCTCGTTATAGTTTCCTTAAGAATTCTTTTATTCATGAAGTTCAAACGACTAGTTGAAATGATGCAGGTTAATTGTAGTAACTTCGTTGCCATCATATTGTCTGACCTTCTGATTTACTAAATAAAAGAAAATAAAAGAAAAAAATTGTTCGTGAGGCTCAGATTCAATCCTTGTATTACAGCAAGGTGTTATATCCCCCAGCCTTATTGCAAAAAAAATATAGTCGCTTTAATGTGATTTTACTAGTTAGATGCGTGTGGGTTAATTTGTTGGGGGTTATAATTTGTTGGGTTATATAATGTGAAGGACCCCATTTTTCTTATAAGTTATACGTGTTTCGCGAATATACTGTCTTCTGAACTTAAAATTTAGTTGAATATATTTTTTCATTGATCTTGAAGCCTTATTTGATATTTGAAAACTCAAAACAAATCAAAAAGTAATTAAAAATGTGAATTAAAGTTTTTTTTAAATAAATTTCTAAATTCTGTTTTGCTTTTTCTGCAGCGAGCTGAGCTCATCTTGTTATGATTTGAGGTATGATATGATACCTAAATAATCCGTGAAATGGACGAGCAGATCGCTTGGTTTGAAGCGAAAATAACTTCATCTCTACGACCAAGAGGAGATGAAATCAAAGCCTTTACTGCTGATATTGATTCAAGGTATTTTGATTTTGAATTAAGTCTATTCCTAGTTGGATGCTAGCGCTCATCGAACAAAAAGTGAAGATATATGATGAAATGCGTGTGTGAGCTATGATTGAGTAGTTGTCAAAACTTGGAATCCTTGAAATGCAAAGAACGGTTGCTGTTGTTTATTTCTTTCTTTTTTCTGCAGGGCAAATATTTCCAACTTCTGTTCGAATGAAGATTGTAGATGCTTGTTTGTGTACCAACTTCAGTCAGGTCTTCTTCAATCGAGTCTTTCAACTCCCGAGGAGACCAGCGTCGTTCGATGTCTTACATTTGTCAAGCTTGGACTGTCCTCCAAACTGGACAGGTCAAATTGGTCTAACAACGTTGCATTTTTCGACAATTCAGTTGACGTCTTAGAAAACATCAATTGGTTGTCCAGAGAACTTTACCTGCCAACAGTTAGCCATGAAGAAAATAATCAGCAGCATACAGTCATTGGAGCAGGGAAAAAATCAATATTTCTGGGGGACAAGTATGTCGATTTGATGCACCGATTTCTGGCATCTTCCGAATTCTCTCAAGTGCTGAAAAGTGGAGACGTGCAGCTACCATATCCAAGCTTGGAAGTACTTCAGGACATTAAAACACAATCAAAACGCAGCAAATCAATCACCCATATCATCGAAACGACAATAATCAACTGGACCAAGCAACTTAAAGTAATAAAATTTACCCTGTTCTAAAACGTTTCGAGGAAAGTTAGGTTTCACAAATAAAAGTCGGGTTGGGGTTTGATTAGGTTTTTATGAAGGCCCTTTTTATTGTGATTCGATCTATTTCAAAATAGGAAAAATTTGCCCAGTGTTGAGAAAATAGTAAGAAGTTTTTGCTGTTTACCATAATTGTTCCGACCTCATTCACGGCTTAGAAAATTTTGTTTCCGCGTTATTTCGTGTATCCCAAAACATCACAAGGAAATCAGAGAAAATATATATATTTCATGTTTGCAATTAGGAAATTTTGTCAAATTATAACAAAGGCTTTGTGTGGAAAAGAAATTGTGTAACAGAATTATTCAATCAGTTTTTAAATAGCTCAGAGACTTCAGTCAGTAGACATTTTAATTATGCCCGTTCTCTTCGAAGTTTTTTTTGGCTTTAAATTTACTAACTCCGACTTAATTTCGTTTTTTTTTGTAATCAAAGGTTCATTGGGATTATAATAGGTGTCGGCCTAATTTTTATGAACTTATTCCCTCAAAATGTGCCTTTTGAAGGGCAAAGTTTGATTTTATAAGTATGCGCTTCGGGGGACTAAAGAAATTTGATTTTAAAAGTTTTTATCGCGCAAAGACAAAACAACTTGTCTGAACAGAATCAATGAATAATTTCCAATGTTTTCTTTGTTATTTAACTTCATCGTTAATTGGCTCTTTTATTATCCCTATCCTAGAAAAAAGTTTTCAAAAAAAGCCAAAAGTGTCAGTAAGATGTTGTTCTTTTTTTGTTCTAAGCACTTTGTTGAGAAGAGAATCTTTAGATTTGGACGTGTTTTTCTACCCACAATCAGTTAACGCAAAAATAAACGCAGAAAATGTAAACTGATATATCAGCTTGAGAGCCTAGTGTTTTTAGTATTAATTACACTTGCGAGAGCAAGTGTTTTGTAACCGGGAACTAGTTTTTTCCCGTAAACAACTTTTCTTACAGTTCTGTATGAAATTGTGAAGTTGCTTCAATAGTGAACCTTAGCAATTTCTAGACTACTTCCCGCTTGGCCTAGAGGAAACGCGGTCGCCTTTGTCCCTTTAGGTCTGGAGCTCGAGTCCCGATCGGACCTTATTTTTTTAGCATTTTTTTTGGGAAAATTAAGTTGTCGGACTTTTGTTTGTCTGCTTATGTTTTGTCGGCTTGTTGCTACGTCGAGGAATTTTTTTGTGCTGCCAGCAGCTGTTATCATAGATGCAAGTGTTTTTGATTTTCTACTGTAATTTGTAAATTAATAGCCCTGATGTTGTATTTTTTCCTTGGTTCTCCTTTTTTTCGCTTGAAAACTTCATTCAGCCATAATCGTTTTGACTTATGTTTTATTGGCTTTGTTACCTTATTTTGTGTCGCTTCAAAGGCAAAAATGATTTTTAAGTTTAATTTTTTACTAACAACAATTTCTTATGGATTTTTTTTGTTTCGATCTTTTGTTCACTCGACAATTACCAAACGTTTATATAATTCTAGTGGTTGTACTTTTCGACTGTTTTTCTGAAAATATTTTCATTTTTTCCCCAAAAAAAATCGATCTTGTTTTTTTTGTCTAATTTACTATTCGCTAGCTTGCAATGCTGAGCTTGCGTTCTGTTGCAAGTGAAGCGCAACTCTGCATCTTCTCTTTCATCAAATTTCAATTGCAACGAAGAATCCGCAATTTTGAAGCAGTTCTGACTCCCAAAAAAAATAAAAATCTGTTTCAATTTTTTACTTTGTTAGCTGCAGTCAAACTTTTTCAGAGCTAATTGCTATTATATTGATCACTTGGTGTCTGGCTTCTAAAATCATTGTTTGACCGTCTTTTTGTTCCGACTTTCGATGCGAAAGTAACGAATTATTTGTGCTCAGGGTGGGTTTTTTTTCTTCAGACAAATTTCGACTATTTAACTAGCCATTTTTGACGGAATTTTTTTTAATATCATTTAAAAAGTATTGTTGTCTTGAGCTTAAGTTTGAAACGATATTTCACCTGAGATCATTTTTCGTAAAGTTATGGGGGTTTAAAGATTGCCATTTTGGCCAATTTTGGACAATTAACGCGCGATATATTTCGCGCTATTAACGCGTAAGCGGAGATTTAATCCATTTTAGAAATCGGTTCAAATTGGTTGAAAGAAGCTTATTTGCCATGATTGATTTGTTACAAGGAGGGAAATCTATTCTTTTGTAGTTTATATGGCGTGTGGGGGGATGATTTTCATAGAAAAAATTTCAAGTTTTAGAAAAAAAAATTGTCTTTTTTTTCTACATTTAACTTTTTAATGATATTTATGTTATTACTGCTCCATAAACAAATCTTAAAAGGCATTCGGAACATTCAGAGCTTCGCCGTGATACGAGCAGTCTTGTTTAACTTTATAATACATTATTTATAGGTCCCTCTATTTAATTAAAGATGACACGACACCCGATATGTCAAGTCGATATGTCAAGTCGGTATTTCAAGTTCTGTTGATATCTCAAAAATTAGCAAAATATTTGAGGAGTCAAACTTTGAGAATTTTAAGAAAACAGAGAATCGATGTACCTGCGACTAGAGACTTGCTCTGTAAAGAATAGAATTATGACTGAAAAGATGCCATGACATTTCTCCATGATGTTTCACTTCATTTAATTGCAGTATTCATTACGACGCCAAACTGTGTATTTTGTGAATTGTAAGTGGATTCGTTCTTCTTTTGTTCTGTCTTTTTCCTTGATCTTTCTGATCAAAAATTTAACGTGTTTAAAGTCTTATCTCTGGTTTCCAGCGACCTACACACCAAATTGTGCGCCTATCCAGTGCACAGTTTGGCCTCGTAATGTTGTGACTTTGTGGGCGCAAGTAAAACTAAAGATTGCCAGCAATCATAGGGTCTATCAGCTCGAAAGTTGCTCACGCGCCACAGCTTGCGATGGTGGTGAGCTTGCGCTCGTGAGTCATCGTTTAGTTAGGCCTAAATATTCAAACTTCGGGTGAGAGTCTGTGACTGTTTAACTTAAAAAAAATTAAATTTTAAATATTTTCTTTTTCGTCACAGGTTCTGTTGAAAGTAGACCCCCTGGATGAAGTACACAGACACTCTCTGGAAATGCCAGTGGGGGATTTCTCCGGCATACCGTGTGTGGTGCATGAGGAAGCTCTGTGGCACGAAAGAGTGATCTCGCTCCGCAAAATAGAAGCACAATTACACTCTGAAGTGACGATGGATTTGGTGGCATATTTGGAACAGCAGAATAACAAATATGCCTCAGGGGTCCACGAAATGAGAAAGGACCTTCAAACTGTTAGTATCCGGTACCACAATTAGGATAAGATTTAACCGTCAACAGATAAGGTCAGCGAATTAGATTAAAATGATAAATCCACGCGGCAAAGGGCCAACAATATTAGATGTTCAGCTCTACCGAGAATCGCTGTTGTGCTCCTCGATTTTATTATGTACTAGCATCTTTTTCTGTCGCAGTTATTGTTCATTCGAAGGTATTTAATACTTAAGGCCGTAAGCGAAGTCCTAGACAACATCAGATTTTTAAAAATTCATTATCGATTTCTTTGCAAAAAATGAAAAAATGTCGCAAGTATTTTAAGCATTTTTTTTAGGCTGTAAGCGAAGCCCTTAGACAATATCAGATTTTTAAAAATTCATAATCGATTTCTTTGCAAAAATTGAAAAAAATGTCGCAAGTATTTTAAGCATTTTTTTTTGTTTTTAGGCTGTAAGCGTAGCCCTAGACAACATCAGATTTTTAAAAATACATTATCGATTTCTCTGAAGCAAATCTGTCGCAAGTAATTATAGCATCTTTTTGTTTTTAGGCTGTAAGCGAAGCCCTTGACAACATCAGATTCCTGAAGCCACTTCAGTGTCGCCTGGAGGAGATAGCTCTGTCTGACTCAGTGGAGGAAGTGAAGAAATTATACAAACCTCTGATTCACACTTTGCAGCTGGTGTGGGAACACTCTGCTCATTACCATAAAAGGACATACTTCCACAATCTGGTCACGCTTGTCGTCAACCAAATGACTCTGAAGGCATCTTCATTTGTCAGTTCGGATTTGCTCGAAGACACAAAACTGGTGCGTTATACTTTTATAATCTTTCTTGAAAGTTCTGAGATTTAAAGCGGAACTTAGAAAATTTTAAAGCGGAATCTTAAAAACTTGAAGAATTCTTGATAAATCTAAAAATTAAAAACATGTAATCTTGGCACTAAAAAATTGTGAAAAGTGTAAGAAACTTTGAAAACGCCTAAAATGTATGATATTCGAAATCTACATTGGTTCCCATACTTTTAGGCGTTCCAAGAGCTGAAGTTTGCCCTGAATCTCTGTGGAAACTTCCGAGGGTCTTATTTGGATAAAAAAGCAAAAACAGATGTTCTAAATCAAAGGCGACACAAGGAAACGAGGAAAGAAGAGTAAGTCTTTTTCAAGCAAATCAATACGCTTTGAAGGAAATCAATTGAAGAATTTTTTTTTGGTTTCAGTTTGTGCTGAAACTCTTGGTTCTTTTATGTCTAGATTAAGTGATCAAATTTAAAAATTATAGGCTGAGGACCCCAAAAACTCCATACTACAGGGCTAAAATTTACCCGCCGACCGAAAAATATGATCTGTGGACCCAGTTGTCCGATGGATCCCTTTGGTCCGACAGTCCCTGGCCCGAGAAGAATTCCCCCTCGTTCGACAAACTGAACGCTTTCTCCGAGCGGTGCAACGACTTACTGGATTTCGTCGAAACTATTCACCAGTTCCGATTGATGAGAAAAGTTGCCGAAGTTGGGGGCGCGGGAAGTCATGGCTTGGACGCTCTGGTATCGGAAATCCACGAACAATTTGAAAAAGCTATGAAGTCTTTTGCAGTGTCGCATAATGATTTGTTGGGACTCAAACGACTTAGTCAGGCGGGATCCAACACCACTACATTGGAGGGAGAAGCGAGTTTCGAACAACAATTCTTCAATTTCAGACTTGTCATTAGGGTAAGAACTGAAACTGAAGTTTGTATTAATCAAAATAATTCAGGTAATGTTATTTAAGCTAGGATTATCATAGCTAGGGTAGGGTTGTTGCTATTTTTAAGCATGTTTTATTCCGGTAGACTCGCGATTCTGCAGCTTAAGTATATAATGAGTGTATAATTGGAGTTGAGTTACGGTTATATAAATTCATCCAATCAGGTTTTTGTGTTTAATTATAACTGAATTTCTTTCGCAAAAAAAATTTAGTCTACTTATAATATTTTATTTTAGAACTTAGAAAAGCGACTGGCTTCTGTCTTGTCTCAGAGTTTTCTGCAGTGTGGTACCATTGGGAGTCAACTGCGCATTTTAGAAGTGTTCGAGGGTGTGAACAACCGCGAAGTCATCCAAAAGGTGTGAATTGATTGACACTTTTCTTCGAACAAACTCAAGTGGTGGATTCAACAGTTTTCTGTGTTGACCTCTTTTGACCTTTTATTGTGTCTGTAGGCGATCGAGCGGGAAGACAGGGAAATGGTGAGTTGTTTCCTGCACGAGATGATGACTGTCAAGGACATGTTAGATCAGAATAGAAACAGTGTGCCGGAACATGTGAATGTGCCCCTGATTGTGAGCAAACTCAAATGGCAACATGCGCTCCAACAGAGAATACAGGTGGGGGTTCTCTTTTGTTTTTTTTTATTCTCTTTACTAGCAAAACTTTGAAAAATGTTTTCAGAGACATCACTGGACAGGTTCCAATGCTTTTTGATGTTCTTTCAAGTGAATATGTAATGATGCAAAAATCTATTGCTATATACATTAAATTTTGGAGACAAACTCAGAATACCATCATTTATGTCTTTTTTTTAATATATTCCTTTTTTACTACTGAAAGTGGGAAGAAACTTAGGATTCGGATGTATTTTTCCTCACGATTTAAGGTACCGCAAAAAAACCTTAAAGGAGTTGTCACAAAAAGCCAGTACAGTCACAGTTTGAATTTTTAAATCAAAATATAATTTTTCCCTGTTTCTGGAAATACCATTCTGCATTTTGAAAATGTTTTTTTTTTCTGATTCTGAATGATTGCAAAAAACTTGCATTAAACAACAAAAGCCGGTCATAATTAGCTCAGAATTTTGCGACAATATAATTGTTGCAAACACAATTTTAAACACATAGGCGAAGCGGAGCTTTGTACCACTTGCGATGCCCTATTGCATTGCAAGCTAGCAGAAAGGGAAAAAAAAAGGATAGCCACTCAATCCAAAAAAATCGAAAAACCACAACTTCAAAATTTTGTCTGGAATGATGTTTCATTTGCGGAAAACTCGTCCAGAAACACAATCAACCGCGTTCAGTAATAATCCAAAAAGATTTATTGAGCGGCAACTGAGCCGAAAAAATCTTGGGTAAATTCCCGTAGAATCGAAAACAAAATTATTGTCATGAAAAACTTTGAACTTTAATTTCTACTTTAAGATTTTTTAGCATTTTGTACAATCCAGAGGGGAGCATAAAAATTAGCTTTCTCTTGAAACGACTCAAATTTAGCTCACTACGCCAATAAAACGTAAACCAAAATCATTTGTCAGAATAAAGTTTTTAAGAGAAAAAAACACAAAAAAAAATAATTATACGAAGTCAAGGTTAATAAAACTACAAACAGCAAACGTAAATCAAAACACTAAAATTAACTAGGTACAAGTATGATAGCTGGGTCCCTGAAAAAATCAAGCATAAAAATGGATCCCGCAATTTAAATGAAAATTTCCAAAATACACGTAAACGAATGCGAACCATGTTTCCAAAGACTTCAAGGGCTAAACTTTTTCTTAATGGACCCATCGAAATTTAAGGGACCCAACTATTATACTTGTACCAGCAACTAAAATTTAAATTGCCCACAAAAAAAAACAGATCCACGTTGCAACTAAGCAGACAAAACATAAGCAGACAAATAGGGAAAAATCTAGTACATGATTGCAAAGCCCTTGCTGATTGCAAGCGTAACAAGGATAGAAATATAGCTGGTTGCTGCGAAGTAGCGCAGAATTTTTCTACAAAAATTGATTAAAGAAAATAAACTCAAAAAGGCATCAGAAGATTTTGGGTCATATAAAATCAGTATTGTCAAGCATGTCTTGTTACCAAGTCAAAGTTTGCCGAATAAAAGTTCCGCGGTTTTTTTTCGACCGGCAAAAAATTTCAACCAGTTGTTCTCGACGCCGGAAAACTTTTCAGAGATTTTAAACTACTTGTTGAACTGCAAGTGTAAGGGTTTCAATATTATATATCATTTGATCTATTTTGATGATTTTTTTGCGTGGAAGAATTTAGTGGTTCGATTAATTATACTCTCTTCATTTAAGTGCTCGGGCGGCTTTTTAGTTGATTGCAACCTAGCTTCAGTTTTTTCAGTGTTTCCTTCACATTTTTTTGAGACAATGAAAAAAGAGTAGGATTATTATCAGTATTAGACTAAGAAGTTGCACGAAGCTATCCGTCCGAAAATAGATAGCATGATAAACAGACTGTGTATTAAAACAGAAACTTTTTTATGAGATAGCCATCTCGGGCATATCTCACAACAACAGAACTTTCTAACGATGGTATATAAACCAGCTGAAGTATCAACCAGCTGAAAATACGTGAGTGTTGTGTAATAGTTATGTAACAATTATGTAACAGTTACGAAAGTTATGCAAATTCATTCATATGATGTAACTTTTCGGCTGGTTTATATACTCTGCGCATTTTCTGTTGGTTATACTGCGGCTGGTTTATTCACACTCTTTTCTAGCTACTCTTTTTTTGCATTTAGGTGCCGATGGGAAAACTTAAGAAAGTGAGTCCGAACTCCTTAATGAGTTCGGAGGGGCAGCAGATTGAGAAGCTGTTCGGGGAACTCAGTGCGAAGCTTGAGAAATTCAGGGACAAACTCCTCAAGGACTGGCAGAGGGGTCTCAACCCGGAGATCAAAGAGAGACTCAAGGACTTTATACTTGTGAGATCCTTGTTTTTCACTGCTAAAAACAGTAACTACTATACTGATGGTTCAGATATGAGAACAACAAAATCATCAAAATGACCATGTTTAATTTATAATTTAAAAAAATTGCTTTTAAATAAAAGCGTTATAGTCTAATTTTATGGAAAGCATGAATATATGAATATGAAATAAATTCAGTACGGTGCATGAATGTTGCCTGATGATAAATACATTAAAACAACGTGAAAAATTCAATCGAAAGAAGCTCCTGTTATTTTTAGATAGATTCACAAAATAATAATGAACAGTTCATTTCATCTATAAAGTATGCGCTTGAAATAAGCTTGGAATTTTTGGCACACCCAAATCAACTTGAGCTAAAAACTCGAATTTCGAAGTATTTTGGAAAAATTTGTGTGAACCAAAATCGAAATTTTTCCATTTGACCTATTAGATCTCTCCACTCAGTGAAGACCACGAACTACCTTTCGAGTCTGCGACTGCAAGCCGAGCGCTAGTCTTAGCCGACCGCGAAAGTGCACTTGGTCCTTCGAACAGAGCAGCTACTAGCGGCGCAGATTTAAGCGAAATTCTTCGAGTCAATTTGGACCAATCCCTTCTCATGCTTCTACGAGAGGTTCACTATCTTGCTCAACCTCCGTTTGAAGTTCGAATGCCAGACACTGTGAAAGAGATCATAAGAAGTATGGACTTCCAAACTTTGAGATCTCTGTCTGCCCGCTTGGAAGCTATCGTCGCCAAGTACAACTACGTTATGCGGTCAATTACACGCGAAGAACGTGCTTTGTTCCACAGAAAACTGACAATTATTGAGCAACTTCTGGACCAGGGCAAAACTGCTTATACTTGGAAAATGGCAGAAACGCAAGACTTCATTGAGCATGCAAGCCAGCTGGTTCTGAATGACTTGTATTATAATTTGGACAAAGTGAAGAGCAATTTGAAGGAGATCTTCGATATTTTCAACTTATGGTCGGACGGACCTCTTGATGTGTTCCACGACAGAGATTCAACTCATTCCTACTCCATGCAGGAATTGATGGACGAACAAAGGTATGAAAGCTGTGATGTTTTTGAATTGAATAAATTATACACACTATTACACGGATAATTATTGTGCTTGCAAATGTACCACCTAATCTAATGTGGTATTGCCCTTCTTTTGTGCCTTTTTTTAAGTGCACTTTAAAAAATTTTTTGGAACTGATTTTGTGTTTTGTGCAGAAATTGCGTTTTTAAACAATTTTCACCGTTTTTATTTGAAAAAAATACGGCTTTCGCTCGCACTTCGGTATAATTAAATTAAGAGTCTATTTTTAATTTGATTTAACATATTTTCAAATTTTTCGCGTTTTTGAGCCATATATTTTTCCATATATTATTGTCATCATCTACTTCCTAGTTTCTTCCCCACCTAAATTTTTTTTAATATTCGTTCCAGCACGATTGTGTGCGACCACGACGCCTATCTGAGGTCATCTGGGCTGAAAGTGCACTCTCTGCTAGAGGACACTTTCTCCTGTGTCGAGGTGAGTAGGGGATCCCCCGCTTGGGAGGAGTATCTGAACAATGTGGACCAGTATGCTCTCAAGGCACTCCACGAATGCACATTCGCCTCACTTAGACACATGTACAACGAACTGGCAGACGCAAACAACTCCGAAGTAAGATATACTCATCTCTAATCCACCCACCCCCCTCCCACCCCCGCATTTGGTTTTGCAATTGTGAAAACTGATTTATATTTGTCAAATGAACAACTCTTCATAGGAGAAATTTGCATTATGGAGGTAAAAAAGAGATATAATTTAATTTTCACAACAATGTGGTTATTACCCTTGCGATAGCAAGATGCTGCAATTGGGTACTAGACTTTTTTCGCGTAAACAACTTAGTCCACAAAATCATTGGACTCCTGGTGGTACCTTCCTTGGCTCATAAGGAACTAAAATTTTGAAGTCTTTCTTGTGCACTTAGCCTGGTGGTATCGCATACGCCTAGGACGGCAAAGGTCCTGGGTTCGAATCTGACCAGCACCATTTTTTTTCAAACGCTAAAAGTTCCGGTTCAAAATTCGGCCTATAATTTGGCTGCTTATTTTTTGTCGGCTTAGTTGCCTTATCGAACACTCGTTTATTTAGCTGTAAACAATTTTCACTGCAGTTATTTTCAGCATTTTAAAAATCTGGCCGAATCAAAACTTGCTTTTCACATTGGTTGTAATTTTACCAGCTCGATTTGTTAAAGTTTCTTTTTTTTCTTCTTTTTTTTTGGTCATTTTATTGGCCTAATAAACGTCGGCCTGATTAATATCGACTTAGTGGCCTATTATTGCGTCATTACGTCTGAAAAACGTTTTTGTGTGCGTGTGTGTGCACTGAGGGGAAATTTTTTTTTAAGTTTAGATTTTTTTGAATTTCGTTTCGGCATGAACGGTTTCTGCTCAGGTTTTTTCGGCTTTGTTACCGCTTGGTATTTATCAGTTCAAATCCAGTCAAACATCCGGCGCATCTATCTTAGAAGTAAAACAGCTGCTTGAAACGGCAAAGATTTGCGGATCGAATCCGGCTGAGCCTTTTTTGCAAAATAGAGGTTTTGTGCTTTTTCGGACTATCGTCTGTTTGTTTTTGTTTATCGGCTCAGTTCCCGTATCTCAATGGTTTAGCTTTATTCCAAGTTGCCGTAATTCCCTTGCTTGAGACGACAAAGCGCGGGAGTTCGATTCCAGTTGAGACCTGTCTTTCTCGCAAATATAGAGTTTTGGCTAATTTAGATTATTATGTGTCTGCTTATATTTTTGTCTGCTTAGTTCCGCAGAAAGGACTGTTTTTGAAAAATTGGATTCTTCATAGCATTCCCAAAGCTCTTTGTAAAGTTTCTAAAGGTGCAGGCAATTTTGTTCCGGATAATTTGGGCTTTTGTTTAAATTTTAGGTTTTGTTAACAAAAATGATTTTTGATTTTTTTCCGTTTGCTTCGCCGCTGTAAAAATTGAACCATTTTTTGTTCCGACCATTTAAAAAATGTTGAGAAATTTTGTATTCGGGTGTGTTTTAGTTTTTTCTTTTTTTTTCTCCACACAAAATCAGCTACCACAAATACTCATTGGAGAGAGTTGAGTGATATCATTTAAAAGCCCTTGAAGTCTTGATTCAAACGACATTTTGAAAATTCCAAAAAACTTTCCTAATAACGAGAAAGCCCGTTTTCAAGTTTTTGATTTTTCGTCTGATTTTGATTGAGCGAGCAGGCTTACAATAGTTTGTTTTAATAGTCTAAAAGCTTAAGATTGCTTAATTTAAGCAGTAAAAACTTAGTTTTACTCGACTTAAGTAACTTTTTTTGAGTATTTTAGCGCCTTTTTAGAAAAAAAACGTCAAAAATTCAAAAAACTGCAAAAAACAATTGAATTGATAATTTTATTCCAATTTAAAAAAAAAAAACGTAAAATATATGCTTGGGGTGGTTTTTGTTCTGAAAATTTTCGGCGATCGAAATCATAGTTTCATGGTCGTATTAATTTCGTACGATCAAATTTTAACTTTTGATTTTTGATATTGTACAAAATTTATATTTAAAAAATTTTTTTTTTCTCAAAAGATTGTTCAATATGGATCAAGAGGCAGTCGAAACATTCAGGGCTTTGCCCTGATATACGAGCAGTCTTGTTTGTTTTTCTAGTGATGTTCCTAAAAAAATTTTCTTGTCATTTTTAAAATTAATGTTCATTTTGATCATTTTTCTAGTATTTTTTCTATTAATTTTTCTAAAAATTGCTTTCCAATTTGCTTATTTTGCTATGACCGTCGCATTTGCCTCAGCTCTATTAATTTGTTCAGATCCTTTCATCACACCGCGCAGAAAAAAAAACGACTATAATTTGAAAAAAAAAATTTGTATTTTTAAGCCTATGGTCGGAACATTTTGTGCTACTTGCACACTAACCGGCTATCCTTGTTTATAAATGATGTTTGCCAGTTAACTAAATATAATGCATTTTATTTACTCTCAATGGTGTCCCTGAAAATGGAATTGTAAAACTTGTAAATAAAAAGACTTTTGTGCAAGGTGTTTTTTAAGGCTGATACCCCTTATTTTTTAAGGTGATTAAGGTAAATTTTTAAGGTATTTTAAGGTAAGTTATGGTGTACTTAAGGTAGTACAAATTTACCTTAGTTGTTAAGATGTTTTAAGGTAAATTTACCTTAACTTTTTTTTGAGTGTAAACTTAAAATATTTTGCTTCATTGTTCTACGTCAACTAGTCATAGTAAATTTGTCTCATCTCGAACATTGTTTTAAATTTTCGGTCACTTTGATCTTTTACTTAATGTGTGTCCTTTCAGCCCAAAGGAGAGCCCCTTCTTGTGATCAAACTGGGCCTGGTGGATGGACGACTGGGCTTCAAGCCTCCTCTGGACAAATCATCAGACGAGACAAGTGTCCAGGAAGCTGTGGAAGAGTGGGTCTCTCAGTTCCTCAACAGGGGGTCTTATATCCAGCCTGTGTTTGTGCCCCCAGCTGTGGGAGGGGGAGGGGAGGTGGAGGATGTTGACGAGTACCATAAAAGGATAGCCGCAGATGTGAACATCAGTGATTACATAGAGAAGATCGACAATATCGTGGAGGCCAATTGTCAGGACTGCAAAGTACGTTTAAACTTTGTTTGAAAATAAGTATTTATCTGAAGAAACGCTCAATTTGATGGTAACGGACAGTTATTATGCTAAATGGTATTTGTTTTTCTAATCTCAAGCTCGAATAGTTTCATTTCATTGATGATCTTTTTAGCAGGTTTTAATTTTCCACAATTTGAATAGGCCGAAAATGGCTAAACTAAATTCCAGCTGCCTTCAAATGCCTCCAAGATTCCAGTGCTGCAGTTTGCAAATTGATAGTTTTGTTGTTTTTCAAAAATTTTAGCTTCGTCGAAGTCCAGATTTAAACAGTTTTAAGTCCATATTTAAAGAGTTTTAAGTCCATATTTAAACAGTTTTAAGTCCATATTTAAACAGTTTTAAGTCCATATTTAAAGAGTGTGATGCTTTAGAGCCTCGTGGTTCCCTTCAATGACTTCTATTTCCTCTGGACAGACGACATCCCGACAGTCTTCCACGAATTCCTCTCTGGCAAACTTCAGCCCTACCCTCTGAGGGAAGAAGTGAAGGGGTACCTTCTCAGCGACCAGGCAACTGCGGCCAAGAGTTCCCGCTCGGATAAAACCATGTCTGAGTCTAGTAATTCGAAAAGTAAGAGGAGTTCCGCTCCTGGGTTTCACACTGCGAAGAAGATGACAGATAGGATTTTTGAACACATGCCCTCGCTGGATGCGTTTGAGACTGAAATCGAAATCTACAAGGTTGGAGTACATTTCAAGTATGGTTTTACATTAGAAATTGTAATCAAAAGGGATCAATCAGTCTCAGGGTTTTTGAGTTTCATATATTATAAACCCCTAAATCAGAGTCTTTGTCAAGTCATTTGGTACCAAACTCTTAGTTTATATGAAAGCATTATAAAAGTATTACTCATGATATAAAACATGATATATAAGCCATTAATTGTTGAAAGTATTGCAGATCGCCCGAATGAGAGTAGAGGAGTTCGAGAACTTCTTCGTCGTCGGCTGGCTCAAAATAGACTGCAGTCCCATAAAGGAAGTGTTGAAAGGGTACGCCAACAAAGCCATCTGGACCTACACAGACTACTTGATAGAACAGGTGTCTGCTGTGCTGACGTCACTCGATAGTTTCCTACGGAGGATCGAACCCGAGTTGGAACAAGTGACTGGAAATGAGCAGGAGTTCGATGAGATCATGAGGATCATGCACATCTTCAACGAGGTAGGAATTTTTAGATGGCATTTGAATGATTTTTTTATTTGCTGGCTGTTAGTATCAGAAAAAAATTGTTATGTTTCAGTTTTTGCACTAGACTTTGGATCATATAAACGAGAATTACATCGAGTACGTGTTCATTAAGGTTCTACGATTTTTAGTAATCGTTTGTTTTTTACCTACTTTGGGATTCGAAGGTCATTTGCGATTTATTGAATGCTTTTTTGTGCATTTTGGAGCAAAATTAAAAAGTTGGTTCAAGTTTATTACCTCTGAAAACTCTACTTTGAAACCCTACTCTGCCTCCAGTCAACATTTTCTTGTGAGAACAGAAACAGTACCACAATAAGTTATTTGAGAAAATGTTAAAATTTTTTAAATTTTGATTATAAGACTTTTTTAACTAATTAAAAATTTACATGTCGAAAATTTTCAACTTTTCAATACATCTTAACTAAAAATGTGTGTTTTTTAAAGCAAATGTATCTTTTTTTTGTTTTAGCATGTTTTTTTCACAATTATCTTGATTTATTTTGATAGATCTAGTTGAATCGCAAGTAGTGGGAAGCTCTGCTTTGCCTCTGTCTTTTTATTTTTACGTTTGGGATTAGCCAGCATTGAAAGAACTGGTTTTTTTTCATCTAGGCGATATTTTTTCATCTTTCAGGTGTCCTCTCAACATGCAGAGTTGGATTCTAAATTCACAGCCATGCAACGCACTGTAGCGTTAGTGAGGAAGCACGGACTGGGCATCCGGGGCAGTGAACTTCCTCGTGACCTTCAGAAGGCGTTTGCAACTGCACCTCAGAGGTGGAGTAATTTGAAGAGCAAAGTGACCTTCGCCAAGCAGAGATTGACACCCAATATTCATAACCAATCTGAGTTCATAACTGGGGTTAGTTTAATTTATTCGGTTTTCGGGCTCTTTTTTAGTTTCCCACCCCCTTCATAAAATTACAAAATAAAGCTGTTCAAAAACTTCACACGGCGTTTATATAAAAAAAGTTGCAAATATTTGTTCACCTGTTCACGCTAACGCGTTTTGATGCAGTTATAGCATGAAAAGCTATTTTTAAATGGATTTTCAAAAATTGAATTTCAGAAAACATCAAAGGGGGACTGGAAAAGAGCCGGTTTTCGAATTTAGGTTTTGTTTCTAGGCTTTTCAAGCTGTTTTGATGCGGTTTTGATTTAGTTTTATAGTCAAATGTTAAATTAGGCTAGATAGTTCATAAATGTGAATTTGAATAATTAAATTCAAAATCATTTTAGCTAGATGTTGGAATAAAAGTACCCAATAGCGCACGAATTTTCGTGTAAAAAGTTTCAATAAAAGAGTTTATGACGACTATTGCTTTCGAGCTAAGTATTATCTATTCGCACCTCTCACATTAGATTTTTGTATTTCAGGCAGGGGCGAATCTAGCATTTTCTCGAGGGGGGATTTTCAAAAAGGTTTCGAAAATTTTGTCGACCTTTTTTAGGTTGATTTCCGAGCCATTTTTTTGACATTGGTTTTCCGAGCTCTCCCAAAGCACTAAAAAGACCCTGTTTTGGCCAAAATTTTTGCGCCGCAGGCATTATTTTGAAAAACCAGGCCAAAAAAAGGCGTTTTAGGCACTTTTTGGAAAAATTTGACCAGAAAATTGCACCTTTTTTTAGCGCGCGCTTCCCCCTCAAAATTAGTAAATATCGCTAAAAGCACCTTTAGAAAATTTTAGGGTCCGTCAGCCAAAAATGGATATCTCAAACTAGTACAAAGGTGGGACCTCCCCCATAAATCTGCTACTGATTTCAGGTCTTCATTGTACCACCTTCTATATTTTACTAGTATTTTTTATCCTTGCGATAATATATTTTCCTTCTTTTTCTACAGCGACGCTATTATGAGAACGACGTAAAATTTTTATTTACGTGAGTTGTGTATTTATTTTGAAAAAAACTTTTAATATCTCCACTGTTAAAAACTAAATGCTTCGCAGCTTCATTAGGAGTTTTTTGCGTTACTCGCTCGTTTTTCTCGCTCCAAATTAATCTGAAAAACTAAAACTTCAAACTGATTTTTCTCGCTACTCAGAAACTCAAACACACCCGAATACTAAGTTTTTCTCCTCTTTTTGTGATCGGTACAATAACACAGGGTAAACTTAGCGTTATTACACAAGCGAGCTTGCGAGTTAGTAAGAACCTTCTTTTTTTCTAACCTAACCCGCCCATAAAAGTGTTCATTAAAAGTGTTCTCTTATTTGTCTCATATTTTTTATCTTAAATTATAGAAGCTGCAGGAGTTCGGACATGAGCTTCGGGGACTAGAGAGTGAGATTGCGGCCTCTGTGGTCTACCAGAGGAACTGCCCCACCTCCTCCGCCTTCGACCTCATCCAACAATTCCACCAAAAACTCCAACAACTCAACCTCAGGGCACAGGTATGTCTCAGGGCACAGGTATGTCTCACAGGTATGTTTCATGCAGTACACGGAAAGCCCAATTGATCCCGGGTAGCCGAAAAAATGGTCCTGGATAGCCGAAGATTCCTCATCTAGCATACAACACGCACAAACATTTTTAATTTCTTACAACTAATTTGGCAATTGGCGAACGTTTGCTTCGCTGCACTTACATCCTGCACGCGCGAATAGTGTAGTGCTCGCACTATAAATCAGTTTTAGCCTTTCTCGGGGTTCAGTTCCGATTGAATTTTTGGCTTGTTTAAGGGACCAAGCGTTCTTACTGCGAGAAACTTCAAGCTAGCGTCATGCAAAGTAAAATTTGTGCTGCCTGTTATCTAACGATTTCTTAACGAAGAAAACTATTTTAAAGATGACGTTTCAAATGAAGATTGCTGATTAATTAGATTCACACTTTTTTGTAATTGGGCGAGAAAAACACACACGGATAACTTCTGATTTTGAGTGTTGAATGTTATTGTTCCGACTTTCGATACGAAAGTAACGGAATATTTGTGCTCGGGGTGGGTTTTTTTTCTTCAGACAAATTTCGACTTTTTAACTAGCCATTTTTTACAGAATTTTTTAAATATCATTCAAAAGGTATTGTTGTCCTGAGCTTAAATTTGAAAAGATATTTCACCTGTGATCATTTTTTGTAAAATTATGGGGGTTTAAAGTTTGGCATTTTGGCCAATTGAATTGGGACAATTAACGCGCGATATATTTCGCGCGATTAAAGCGTAACCGAAAATTTAATCCGTCTTAGAAATCGTTCCAAATTGGTTGAAGGGAGCTTATTTGCCATAATTTATTTGTTACTAGAAGCGAAATTTATCACTTTGTGTTTTATATGGCGTGTGGGGGGATTATTTTCACAAAAGATCTCAAATTTTTAAAAAAAAATTTCAATTTATTTATTTTTTTTTACACTGCGTTTCTCAAGTTATTACTGATTCATAGACCTTTAAAGCCAGTCAGAACATTCAGGGCTTTGCCCTGATACGAGCAGTCTTGTTGTTTTTCTGATCAAATATAGGTTTTTAATGTTTCGAAATTTAAAAAAAAAACGATAAGATTATTTTTTATTTGTTATAGGATCTTTACGAACTGCAAGAACTTCTTCAAATTCCCGCCGTAGACTTCAAAGTTCTCAATCGGTTAGTTTTGCCTGCTTTCGTTGTTACATCCTGTCTAGCTAGCTAATAAAAAACAATTTATAACCAGGGAATTTGAAATGCGATTCGTTTCTCCGAAGGTATTTCAAAATAGAATACTAACAAAAACGAGATTTTTTTTTCTAATTTTCTCTCTTTCCTTTACAGAGTCTTACCAGACATGAAAGAGTTCTCACTCAGGTAACTTCGGTTTGGTCAATCCTTTGCATTTTGTTTTCCTCCCGTCATTTTCGATTCTATTTTTGTCAGAAGAACATTCCATTGTCATTATTCACGAGTTCAAATTAGTTATAAATTTGTGCCATCATTTGTTTATAATTTTTGGTAGTTATTATTGAAATCGATCAAAAGTAAACTTATTTATTTCATCATCTGTTCCTGTGTTATGTTAGAAATATAGCCAGTAATTCTGATCCAACTCACGGATTGAAACATTTTTATCTTAAGTAACTTAATTTACATTATTATAGTTTGATATACATCAGAAATTTTTCAGTGTGAAAAAGGAACTTGAAAATCTTTCCTCAATCTGGGAAATGGCTCAAAAAGTCAACGAGTGGAAACAAAACTGGCTCAACACCTGTTGGTTCAGCATGGACACTTTCAAAGTTGCCAACTCGGCCGCTACTCTGGAACAAGCTCTCTCCCAATATCCAGAACAGTGCCAGAGCTGGGACATAACTGAGAGTTTAATAGTGTCTGTGACGATGATCAAAGGTGTCCTCCCATTGGTCGACGACTTGAGCAACAGTGCGATGCGAGCGAGACATTGGAAGCAGTTGTACAGGGAGACTAAGAGTTCGATCCAAATCGACCAGGACAATGTTCGATATATGACTCTGGGCAAACTGCTCAACACTAATTTACATGGCAAGTCTTATTCATATACATTTAGAGCTGATATAAATTATCAGGAAATTGACATTTAAAACGCGGTTTTTTTTTAAATTGGCTTGATTTTAGACGAGCAATGATGAGATAAAACATGCTTAGAATTTTCGCAGAAATAATATGGTTTTTCTTTGGAGATTACACCCTTGTTAAATGGGCCAAACATTTTACTCCAAAAATGAATCATTTTTCGCTTTTTTAGTCAATCAAAAATTACGCTAAAGCTACCGGGTCAATTGCTGACAAAAATATATTATAGTGAGCTCTTACTTAGCCCGACAACATTTAACAAGGGTTTAATCTCCAAAGAAAAACCATATTAATTCTGCGAAAATTCTAAGCATGTTTTATCTCATCATTGCTCGTCTAAAATCAAGCCAATTTTTAAAAAAAAATTGAAATTTAAAATTGATTTTTTTTTGGGTTTTGTCCAAATAATTTAAATCGGCATTTTCTCGCGTAACGACTCATCTCCTGGATTCTGGACTCACTAATAAACTTTCTTTATTACCCTTGCGATCGGGTAATAGACTTTTTTATCCGTAAATAATTTTGTTCACAGGACTCATTTCATATATACTGGACTCTCTAATCTTATGACATGCTCAATTTCTCGAAAATTTAAAAAAGTACTATAGTTTATTTAGTAATTAGGTAAAGCCCGTATCAGGTTGTAATTATTTTTTCAAAAAATATCTCAATTTTTTTCGGCTTCGTAGTTTTCGACCTAGTTTCTGTCGGTTCATTTTCCGTTTTTTAAACGCCATTTTTCATCTGATAGGGTTTTGATTGGCTTACTTTCTAGAGCATGTGTTTTGTTCCAATTTAAACAGTTTTTTACTACAATTGAAAGTTCAGTAAATTGTAACTTTACCAAGTCTGATATTGGGTTTAATTTTCATTTTTTTTATTTCTACTTTTTGTGTTCGATTGTAATCGGGACTTGTTCTTTTTGCAAACTGAAAATTTTTGACTAATACAGATTTTTGTCTTTCTGCTTATTTTTGCTGGCTTAGTTCCCGCAGAAACAATTTTTTGGAAAGTACGGCTTTTTTGAGCTTTCCCAAAGCTCTTTGTAAAGTTTCTAATGATGTAGGTAAGGTAATTTTGTTCAAATTTTATTTAAAAAAAACGATTTTTTTTAAGTTTTCATTTTTTTTCATTTGCTTTTAGTCACAGTGATTAATTGTTGTATCACAAATGGTGCGAAATTTAAAAAGAAAGTTGTAAAAATTGAGGTCTTGCAAAACTGATTTTTGATCTTTTTCAAGTTCACTTCTATTCCTTTGTTAAAAAGAAGGCAAACTCCGCTATCAAACAGCCAAAGTTTAAAAGTCACCGAAAACGTGATCGACTTCTAATTTCAGAATTGGATTTTAATAATCATATTTTTCAGCGAAAAACAATTTACCTATTGATCCAGTTTTCTTAAATTGGGTTATTTTTGTCAAAAAAGTGTCAATCATAAATTGAAATTCGAACAGCTGTAAGGCCGTTTTTTTTCTTTGTAATTCGAAAGTTAGTTATTTTCGAAAAACTTGTTTGTATTTTTTTTGTTTTCTCGCGTTCATTGGCTCTTTTCTCAATGTTTTTTTTTCTGATTAATTCAGTAAGTTTCAACTTTTACTACTTAATAATGATAGATAGTGATTGCCAGATTAATTGCAACTCCTTTCTTTCGACGAACCTGAACCAAGATAACTTAAAACTGCTCAAAAATTCGAATTAGTTCAAGAGCGTATAAAATCAAGAGTTCAGAAAATCAATGTGGTTGATCTAAAAAAAGGCCGCCAGTAATTTTGATGACAAAAAGACAAGCAGTAAAAAGCCTCACTTTATTATTACACTACTCTAGTCTCCAATATTTTTTATTCAACTACGTTTTTTTTAAATCTAAGAATTTAGTGAACCGAACTTGTGTGTTTTCAGTGCACTCAGAAGACATCAGAAAGATCGTGTCTCGAGCACAAGGTGACCTCACGATTGAACAAATGCTGAAGAGATTCGAAGAAATCTGGCTGGGAAAAGTGTTCACAATGAAGGAACACGTGAAATCTTCCATGGAACAAAAAGACTTTCTGGATGCTCCAGATGACGATGCTTTTGTATGCACTCTTCAATCTTTTTCTAGAATACTCTAAATTTTTCTTGATGAAAACTCTTACGTACCTGTTTTATGTTAATTTAGGAGTCGGGAAATAATAGTAAGCGAAGTAGTCGAAGAACGAGTCGAGATAAAGTGATGAGCATCGCAGCTCCTGCCGACGACGGAGGAAGTGTGGGTTCTAGGAGCAGAGCGAATACTGCTAGACTCACTACTCCTGGACGCGCCAAGAGGATTAGTCTTTCATCTTTGCCGATGGAAATCACCAACATGCAAACAGAAGTTAGTGGTTGTAATTCATCGTCCGACCTTAAATGTTTGATCAATCGGTCACTTTGACCTGAAATGTCAGGTCACTCGGTGCTACAGTATGTAGTGTGGTAGTTATTTTTTTTGATAGTTTCTAAAATAGTACAGAAAGTTTGACTGATTTTATTGTGTGGCGTTTCATGTTCGGCTTCGAAACTTTTTCTTAAACTTCCAAATCTTCAAGATCTAATTGGGTTTTTGCTAGTTTAACCTGGACCAGTTAGTGGCCCAAATGCTGGACAAGCCATCGGTGGCCTTGAACCAAGTGTTGCAAGCCGTGAAAGACAATCCGGTACTGAACTCAATTCAACCAATCAGAATCAGTCATCGTAAAGCACTGATTATCATAGAACAATCATTCAATGTGCACAATCATTATATGTTTTAACCTTGAAATCATCAAATTTTGATAAATAAGAATGCAGGTTTTGTAGTTAGCGTGTTGTAAATGATTTACAAAAATCTTTTCTTTTTTTTTTCAAATATTTCGTCAATTTTCAACCAAAATTTTATTTGAATCGGCCTTTAAAGTGCGTCCAATCAAAATATTCAGAGCTTTGTCTTGATATACGAGCCGTTTTGTTTAGCTCTAAAAAATTATCGCAAAAAATATGAAATTGTTTAAAATTTGAAAGTGTTAAAATCTGATATATTTGATGTTGAGTCATGGCATTTATGTATAACTTAAAGAAATTCTGCGATTCTATGCGAGATGATTTCTTGATAGTCTGGAAATCTGAAATATGTTGATTTGTTTGTCCAGATGGAGTTCAGCCAGAAGATGTTCCTGTTGGCGGAGTGTGACGAGGTGTTTGAGAAGTTGGAGTCCCATCAGATGGACTTGGAGAGGATGCGACAGAACAAAGACGCGGGATCCTTCCTGGACGAGATCATCAAGTGGCAGAGTATCCTTCAGGACATAGAGAGTGTGGTCAAAGTGTGGCTCAAAGCCCAGAACTTGTGGCTCAAACTCGACGAGGTGAGTTGATGTGCAATTGGAATTTAAAAATTAAATAAATTGAGAGAAAGAAAGAAAGAAAAATCAATTTCAGCAGAGCTTTAAGTACTTTTTATCATAAACTTATGGATGAGCATGATATGAAATTATTTTTTTGAAGAAAAATGGAAAAAAAAGAGAAGAATCGAAATTTAGTACAAACTGAGAACCCGATGTATTTATAAACTTCATATTTTTACTTGGATTAGCTGAATTTCTGATAATGAGAGTTAATATAACTAACTTGTTTGATTTCAGATCTTCGCCAAGAGTGAGATGGGGATTGTGTTGCCCAAGGAGTCCATTCTGTTCTCCACTCTGAACAAGAACTTCCGCATTCTCATGAAGGCCACTGCGCACAAACCCAACATCCTACAGTGCTGCTTCTACAAAGGTAACCATTGAAAAAAACTCGACTTTTTCCACAAGAACCCCACCCCCTGCCCCCGCATAGTGACGAAAAGGTTCCATGACAATCTACTCGATTCCAATTTACCCCATGCCATTCTGCCCTATACTATTCTACCCTATATTCCTATCTACCCATTGCCAATTTACATTATGTTCTATATATAGTTCAATTGGTCAGAGATAAGCTTAATGCTGTTTTGTTAAAGGTTTTGATTTAGGAAGGCGATTATTTGCTTGAAGCTATAATGAGAAAGAGCCAAATATTCTAGTTTTTTTTACTCCATTCTTAAAGTACGATAAGCTTCAAAATGTTTATCACGTCAACCGTCAACAATGAGTTTCTAGAAACCTCCAGTTATTTGAATAGTTCACCGTAGAGCTTCTTGCTGGCAAGGCTGGTGCAACTTTTTTTTAGAAAAGTTTAGAAAAAGGATAAAAATTTTGCGATCGGCTTCGAGTTCGGTGTGTTTATATAATCAAAAACTTTTTAATGGTCTGATTTTTCATGATTATCATACGTTATTTTCCAACTTTTCTGGAATTAGAAGGTGGCGTCATCGCAATGATAATTCTTGAAACGAGCCCTATGATAACTCTTGCACATCGTAACTTTTTTGCATTTTCATCTATCGTGAGGAAAATCAGAAGCCTACAGGGGCCTTCAATATGTTCACCGTGAATTCCGTACCTCGCAAAATCCGTGAATCCCATTTTTGTTTCTCTACCACCGTGAAGCCATTTCATTGCAAAATCCGTAAATCCCATTTTTGTTTCTTTTTATCCAGGAATCCGGAAGACGCTGGAAAAGATGAGTGAAAACTTTGAGTTTTGCCACTCGAGTCTGCTGAGGAATTTGGAGAAGAGGCGGTCCCGCTTTGCCCGCTTCTACTTCCTCTCAGATGAAGACGTCATCACAATCATTGCCAACGGCAGCGACCTCAACCAGGTCAAGCACTACATGTACAAGGTATGCCGTTTCATTCAAGTAGTCTATATAAATAGAACTCAAATAAAAATAAAATTCATCCTCTCGCATTCATCCTCTCGCAAATAAAATTCATCCTCTCGCAAATAAAAATAAAATTTCCTCTCGCATTCTATTTTGATTTATTACCCTCGCCGATTTAATATTTTAAATAAGCTATTTCATTCAAGTAGTCTACTTACAGTAGTCAAATTACATTCATAGTGATATTTTTTGCACTTTTTTCTCTTTTTTTCACTTTTTAAAGCTACTTCTTGGCGTTTTGTCGCTTGAGTTTGCGAAGTGCAGCTTCGCTTCTTTATTCAAAAATTAAATTAGAAAGTAAATTGAATTTCTAAGTAATCCCCCCATATAGTTTCCACTCAAGAATCTCCAACCCTATGAATAATTACAGTAAATTAGCACATAGTTTTCTATTGCGACTTCTTTATTTGCTGCAATCAGATTGGTTGAAAATTCGACAATTTTAATCTAATTAACAATTCATCCTCTTTTCTTGAAAGAGGATCGATTGTTAAGTAGATCCAATTAAATTAATGGCAAACGCAGTGAAAGATTTTTTTTGCAATTTTTTTTGTGGTTTCTTACCCTCTGATTTGCAATGAATGAACAAAAATTCTCTTTTTCCTTTTTGTTCCGACCTCCGAAGAAAACGGAATATTTATGCTTGGTTTGGTTTTCTTATTCAGTCAGTTTTCGGCGATCGAAATTATAGTTTTTATTAAAAAAATACCTCTTTGAAGATATCAATTTCCTGAGTTCAAATATAAAAAGATATTTGACCTCCGATTATTTTTTGAAAATTACCAATTTGACCATGTTTTGGACAAATATATGCGTGCTTTAAAGATTTTATTCATAATAATAAAAGCATAAAGCGAATTTTTTGTGCGTGGGGAGTTATCCCGCTCAAAAAAATTATATGAGCAGTCTTGTTCTTCTTGAGAACGGAAGTGATTTCTAGCTTGTAATAATTATTATTTTTTGTTTAGAAAATGATTAAGTTATTTGAAACTACATGAAAACGCTATTTTATATAGTCTTAAAATATATTTTAAAATATATTTTAATCAAAATGAGCAGTGGCATTATGGCGCTCCGATAGTGATGGTGCCCAGCAATCATATGATTGCGATTTCAAATCGCACGTGCGTTACAATTTGCAAGCTGAGCTTTTGCTTGATAGTCACTAGCTTAATGGGCGCTGGTTACATGAACTTTTGCCAATTTAAATGGTTAAACTCCGGCTTATGCCTCCGGGCTGGTTGACTACAAAAAAGAATTTTTAAATTAACTTAATTTTCATCTTAGGTGTACGATAACGTCGGCAGTTTGATATTTGACACAACTGAAGTTGAAGAGGAGACTTCTTCCTCCTTCAGAATCACACACTTGATGAGCAAAATTGGAGAACCCTTGGAACTAGTCAATGTAAGTCAACAAACACGTGTCCTTGCTAAATCGCTATCAGGCACTGTAGTTTTTTGATCAAAATTTTTTGTAGTATTTCATTTGCTGTTTTAAAGTATCCTCATTGATAGCACCATTGAAAAATGATCACACGACTTTCCAAACGTCGATTTTTTTTTGTAGATGTCTGATAATTTTGACTATCTGAAGTAACCTTCTATAATATTAACAAAACTCTTGAAGTTATGTGTTCTTGTTATTTTAGCCAATCGTTTGCAAGGGCGAGACTGAAAAATGGCTCAACGAAATCTCCTATGAGTCAAAATCAACACTCAAAGCTTGGATTCGATCTGCATTCGAGGTTATCAATCTCGAATACTGGAAACAGGATCGAGACTCAATAATCGGCGGGAAGCTGAATGACACAACTGAGCAGAATGGTTCGAAAGCTATTGCGGATGTTTCCGAACATCCAGATTACCAGGAGCCGAACGATGGGATTCCGCAGATCGAAATCAACAGATCAGCTGGAGAAGAAAAAGAGACGTCGAAAACTGAAGCCAAGAGCTTTGTTGAAATTCCAAGCGAAGTAATGTATCTAGCGTTGAATTGCGATTTGACAAACCTTGCCAAAATTGCGATGGAAAGAAGAAATGAAAAACATTTAGGAACTTTGGTGACAAACATGCAACGAGGCCTGGATAAGATCTCCCAGCTGATTATTTCCCTTGAGGAAATGAAAAGAAAGCGCCAAAAAGACACCGACCTTGAAGACATGTCAATTGACGAAATGGATAATTTGGAATCCGCTTTTCACGGAGCGCCTGAAATTGAAGCGACAGCTACAATGACTGAATTGATTCAACTTGAAAACGAGCTAAGCGAAGACCCTCAGCCGACGAATATGCAGGGATATCAAATGCCGAGAAAAACAAGCGAAGTTAAAGTCGAAGAGACTTCGATACAGCTTGCATCACCAGAACAAGCAGTTGAAGTACCGTCGCAAAGGGTACATCAACTGCGAAGTTCGAGCGAAGGTCAAGACAACAGAAGTATTTCTCCGTCAAAAGGTAACGCCGAAAATCAAGAATTCGACAAAGAGTCACCGACAGGCGTTGTTGAAAAAACGGAAGATCAAAATATTCTTGACGAAAATTTGAGCGATGCGAAATCTGCTTCTGAACAAAAAGACGCTGAACTTGAAGCAAGTGATCAAGACCCTGAGTTAGAAAAATCCGAGGAAAACATTATCGGCGAAGATCAAAGAGCAGAATCAAGTGACCAGAACGTTGTTCAACCTGAAAATGACCTTGAAAACGGTGAACAAAATAAGAGTTCAATCAAAAATGAACGTGAAGAAAGCGTGAAAGGTAGTGAAGGTCGTAATGAACAGGAAGTTCATGAGACTTCAAAGGCAGAAACTGAATTAGATTTGCCGCCTCTTCCTCCGCGGACTTCGAGTGTGCATAGACATTCGAGGAAAGATGCGAGTTTGCTGTCCAAGTATTACGACTTGGCTATGCGACCTTATCAAATGAAGGTACCTAAAAGTCTTCAAGATTTTTTAATGGCGTAGTCAGAAAAATTTAATTTCTGAGAGGCCTTGTTGGTTAAATTAAACTACATTTGTTTCTGGCTCAATCATTTTTTGACCAATTAACTGATTTTTTGTTCGAAGTAAAGAAAACCGTAGATGGTAATATGGACTGTTTAGGAGAATGGGTTGCAAATAAAACAATTAAACGATAAAATAATAAAATATACAATTGGGCAGGCAGTAAAATGTACAGGCGAAGTGCAATTGTTCTTTCAGAAACTGGAGGGAGTGATAAACCTGTTGATCACTTGGAGGGATCGAATTGAGAGAGCTTTGGACTGTGCCAATAAGAATCTCCTGTTCACTTTCTACTGGCAGCAGATGATGAAGTTCTACTGCGAACCCCTCAACACAGTTGCACCCATCAAGATCGAAGTCAGTATTAATCGTTTTCTGCTCTGCTTTTTGATTCTTCGAAGACATTGAAGTAATAATTCTCTGCTACATTTCGAAATAGTTGAAAACCAAAGCTTTAATTTTACAGATTAATATGCAACTGAAAGTAAGCCGCAGATCACTCGATAACGAGACTATATGAAAAAAACGTCGAGGTTTCATGAACAAAAACCGAGTTTGTAAGTGACCAGAATTCTGTTAAGTTGTTAAGTGCTTTCATACATCGTGTTCGCTCTCCGAATTGAGAAAATATAATCTGATCAAATTTTCGGACGATTTTCCGGCGGAAGTAAAGATGACGACCGAATTTTCTTTTTAAAATAACAATTGCATGGCCGAATTTTTTTTAAGTAGAACTCAAACCTGTAATGTTAGTTTTTGAAAAACAGCTAACTTTTTTGTTCAGTTTTCAAAACTATTGTTCTTGTCTTTTGAGTTTTGAACTAGTGTTTCCGTTTCAGTGTTTTGGGGAGGTGGTAGGCGAGTACCAGTTCGACTATCAGGGCTCCTCAGTGAAACAGACTGTGAGTGGACAGACAGAGAAGACACTGATAAACATGGCACTCTCGATGTCCCATTTCAGACCCACCATCGTCGCCGCTCCATCTGTGAGTAGTTTTGTTCACCTTCACTCACGCAATGGGCAAAAGTTTTGACCATCATGGCCAAAAAAAACATCATAGCCGCTCCATCTGTGAGTAGTTTTGTTCACCATCACACACGCAATGGGCAAAAGTTTTGACCATCATGGCCAAAAAAACATCATAGCCGCTCCATTTGTGAGTAGTTTTGTTCACCTTCACACACGCAATGGGCAAAAATTTTGACCATCATGGCCGAAAAAGAAACATCATGGCCGCTCCATCTGTGAGTAGTTTTGTTCACCTTCACACACGCAATGGGCAAAAGTTTTGACCATCATGGCCAAAAAAAACATCATGGCCGCTCCATCTGTCAGTAGTTTTGTTCACCTTCACACACGCAATGGGCAAAAGTTTTGACCATCATGGCCGAAAAAAACATCATGGCCGCTCCATCTGTGAGTAGTTTTGTTCACCTTCACACACGCAATGGGCAAAAGTTTTGACCATCATGGCCAAAAAAAAAACATCTTGGCCGCTCCATCTGTGTAGTTTTGTTCACCTTCACACACGCAATGGGCAAAAGTTTTGACCATCATGGCCAAAAAAAAACCATCATGGCCGCTCCATCTGTGAGTAGTTTTGTTCACCTTCACACACGCAATGGGCAAAAGTTTTGACCATCATGGCCAAAAAAATATCATGGCCGCTCCATCTGTGAGTAGTTTTGTTCACCTTCACACACGCAATGGGCAAAAGTTTTGACCATCATGGCCAAAAAAAACATCATGGCCGCTCCATCTGTGAGTAGTTTTGCTCACCTTCACACACGCAATGGGCAAAAGTTTTGACCATCATGGCCAAAAAAAACATCATGGCCGCTCCATCTGTGAGTAGTTTTGTTCACCTTCACACACGCAATGGGCAAAAGTTTTGACCATCATGGCCAAAAACAACATCATGGCCGCTCCATCTGTGAGTAGTTTTGTTCACCTTCACACACGCAATGGGCAAAAGTTTTGACCATCGTGGCCAAAAAAAAAACATCATGGCCGCTCCATCTGTGAGTAGTTTTGTTCACCTTCACACACGCAATGGGCAGAAGTTTTGACCATCATGGCCAAAAAAAATCATGGCCGCTCCATCTGTGAGTAGTTTTGTTCACCTTCACACACGCAATGGGCAAAAGTTTTGACCATCATGGCCAAAAAAAACATCATGGCCGCTCCATCTGTGAGTAGTTTTGTTCACCTTCACACACGCAATGGGCAAAAGTTTTGACCATCATGGCCAAAAAAAACATCATGGCCGCTCCATCTGTGAGTAGTTTTGTTCACCTTCACACACGCAATGGGCAAAAGTTTTGACCATCATGGCCAAAAAAAACATTATAGCCGCTCCATCTGTGAGCTGATCACGCAGTCTACACACATTTTGCTCTTATTTTTTTTCCAAATTTGCCACCAAATATGGAGATGAGAAATGTGTCACTTTCGTTCATACTGCTGGAATTCCATTTTCATTCACATGATTACGAAAAGTGTTTTAATTTGCCCATTACAAATATGACTATTAAAACCTTCAATTGTGGTAAAAGGCTATTTTCGATCAATTATAATCGAGTCCGACACGCACATAGATCCGGGTGTAAAAACCTCTAATTGCCGCATGTTTTTTATTTCAGCTTTTCATGGGTTGACTATGTTCATTTTATGTTTAACTATGTTTATCTGTGATGATGTTTCAAACAAAACTTAGGCATTTTTGTGTGTTATCTAAATACATATGTTGCAGGGTTCTTCGAAGCGTGAAACAGTCAAAGAACTCTCCAAGACATTCGGCCAGGCGCTCTTTCCTCTAACGTGCACCTCCTTCACAACTTCCCAGACTCTGGAAAGTGTCCTCAAGGGCGTGGCTCTATCCGGACTCTGGGTCACAATTCACAATGTGAACCATCTGAAACCCAGTTTGGTTGTCTTGCTGGGTAAAATGATTCACTCTTTGATTGACGCTGTGAAGAATAAGAAGGCGGAGATGGATCTGAAGCCGTTCTTCTATCCAATCAAAAGCTTCAACAACCCAGGAGTCTTTTGCACGATTGATGACAAGGTTCGTTATTTTTTTTACCTCCATTCTAAGAAGAAGGTTCTTATTTGGATTAACTTGCTTAACTGACTGATTTTTGCTCAGCTAACCGATCGATTTTGAATCAAAATATCCATATCCAATTGGAGACGTTCTTTAAATGTAATTTGGTTTTCTACTTATGAGACTAATATGCTTCCCGTTTTTTTTCTAGGTCGAGATCACCAGTTCGAATCCCGACCGTGCCATCCTTCGCTCGAGCAGCCTTCTTGCCCTCCCTCCCTCCGTCGTGTCCCAATTTCGCCAGGTGGCTTTGAGTTGTCCTGACCTTAAAAGTTCATACGAGGCCAGCTTAATCTCCAAAGGATTCACCCATGCTAATTCTCTGGCTCGGAAGCTAAGCGCTTTATCGGGATGTAGAATGGACATTGATGAAAAAATCGCGACAGTTAGTTCTCATTTCTGGGCTGATAAGTTCTGGCCAGGGCCTGGCTGGGCACCTTCTTTGACTGAAAACATCTTAGAAATGGCCAGGACAACCCTGGAAGAAATGCGAAAATCCTGGAAACTCAAAAATGAGACTGACACTTTATCAGACGATGAACAGACTTTACTTGAAGTGCAGGCGTTGGCAGTGGCGTTGAAAACTGTGTTTGTGAGCAGACATCCAGGGTCCATAGGGGCGAATATTTTTAAGGACAAACTGCTGAGTGTGATGCCAGAAGCAGAGAATGTTCCGATGACTCTTCAGGAACAGTCGGCTAGATTCCAAAATGATAACAGTAAATAGTTTTTTTATTTCGCACTATGTCAAAAAATTACATGTCCTAGATTGTCAAAAACCAGATCAAAATTTGCATTGCCTAATATTTAAAAACTATTTTTAGTAAAAAAAAAAGAACTTTTCATTTTTGTTTTCATTTTTTTCTTGCTTGCAATTTCTGAAGACAATAATCTACAAATTTTGACCATCTTTTTCAGACATGCTGGCGACCATCCAAGAAAGTTTAGATCTCAGCTTCGACAGAGGTCAATACTCGAGGTCCAACCAAGAACCAAACCAAAACCTAACAGCCCGTAGCGAAATCGTCGAGAGGCTTGGACTCGCGTCATCGCCTTACTTCTTGACTCGAATCCAACAATTAGCTGACATCTGCTCCACTCATAATTTCACGATTGTCAGTGGACGCGCCGGAAGTGGGAAGAGTAGCGTGATCAAATGTTACTCGGGACTTCTGGAGTCTCAAGGTTGCAAGGTGTCCACAGACAGACTGGTCGTCGGGACTCTGGAGACTCATGAGTTGTTTGGATACTACACAAGTTCCAAGTAAGAAATTCGCTAGCTGTTGATTTACCTAGTAGAAGTTCGTTGGCTATTGGTTTTTTTAAGGTCTCTTATTAGACAAATAATTTAGGAGAAATTGTTGGTGGTCGTATGGTACAGATTGGTTTTTTTGAGTTCACTAACCCTCACTTCAAATTTTTATCATTAGTTTTTCTTGCGTAAACCATACCTTACTACCTAAGAATCTTCAATGAAGGACTTGAAATTAAAGAGGTTACGCCATTTAGCTATCAAAGTTAAGCACATGTTCTGTTTTTCTCCAAAATTTGATTCATCGATGAAAAATTGACCTGAAGAAGTTTTTTAATGCTGATTTAACAAATGAACCTAAGCGAGTATTCTATTAAAAAGGTCCCAAAAACATCTACATTATTATCCTTGTGATTTCTAAATTAGATTTCAGGTGTTAAGAGCTCAGATTTTAGTAAAGAAATACTGTTGTACCCTTGGTTAAGAACTAAATGCACTTTTTTGAGTATTTTCTATTTCTCCGCTCTAATAGTTGGGTTGATGGTAATGAAAAATTACTCGGAGTTTTTGGGCATTTTTCGTGCCTTGATTGTTCAGTTTTTCATGTCTCGTGGATCATTTTGGACATATTTAACGTTTTTTTTTTATGTCTATTCTACAAATTTGCGAGCCTGCTAACAACTTTTTATAATGATTATTGTAATTATGTATTGTGGATTTTTTGGGCAGTTTTTCCTGGTTCTGCTTCAGTCGTTGGGTGGACGGTGGCTTCAACACCCTCGTCAGGAGCTACGCCCACAACGACCAAAGTGGCAGCGACTCCCATTCGGATCCCACCCGATTCCTGGTGATGGACGGAAACATCAACGAGCGACAGATGGAGATATTCGGCAGCGTCCTCCACAGCAACGGCAAACTCACATTCGCCAATAACGAGTCGTTTGAGTTGGCTGGAAACATTAAGATATTCTGGGAGGTTAGTGCTTGTCTAACTTGGTGCTTGAGTTTTTTTGGTTATCAAGTTTTTTGAAAAAAAAATTATCAAAAATTTTGCTTTTATTAAAAATATTTTGAAAAAATCTTGCGAGTTTCTTAACCGTCAAATTTTTTAGATACATTTGAAAAATTTTTGATTGCTTGGAGCATAAAGCCATTAAGACTGGATCGCACGAAATGCTGATGATAGAAATGATAGAAATATAATTCAAGTTTTTCATGACAACAACTTTTTTCGGCTTTTTTGTTTTTGTTTCTGTTTTTTTTTGGCTTAATAGGTTTCGGCTTATTGGCCTCATATTGCATCTTTCGACGAGCCAAAAAATTTTTTTGCTTGCGTGTCTGTGTTTTGAGGGTGAGGGGGACTTAATAACTTCTTTATTAGTCTTAAATTTTTTTGAATTTTTTTCGGCTTTTTTCTTCCTTTTCATAAGCTTTTCATAGGTATAGGCAGGGGCGGATTTAGGGGGGGGGGGGCGGGGGGGGCGGACGCCCCCCCCTCAGGGATTCGACCCCCTGCCGACCCAAAGGGTCCCCCCTTTGATACTTTTTCAGAAATCCATTTTTGGCGGATCGACCCTAAAATTTTTCTAAAGGCGCCTTTGGCGCCAATATATACTAACTTTGAGGGGGAGCGCGCGCCAAAAAAAATGCGATTTTTTTGTCAAAATTTTTCAAAAATTGCCCAAAAACGGCTTTTTTGACTGTTTTTTAAAAAATTTGCCTGCGGCGCAGAAAATTTTGCCAAAATAGGGGCAAAGCAGTGCTCTGGGAGAGCTCGAAAAATCAATTTGGTCGACCTAAAAAAAAAAAAAAGGTCGTCAAAATTTTTCGAAAATCCGCCCCCCCCCTCGAGAAAATCCTAGATCCGCCCCTGGGTATAGGCTTATATTATATCAGCTTAGTGGCCTCATTTTGTTTCATTTGACGAGCAAATGAAGTTTTTTGAGTGTTTGTGTATTTTGAGGGCGAGGGGGACTTATTCATTTTTCATAAGTCTTGATTTGTTTCGGCTTAAACGGTTTCTGACAAGGTATTTTCGGCTTCGTTACCGTTGGGTACATTATCTTCCGATGTTTATTTCCTATTCTAATGTTTTGGCGTGATTTTGTTTCAAAACTAGCCTTAATCATTTTGATAGATCTAGTTTTTTCGACATTTTCAAATTTAAAAAAATGTATCGCAAGTGGTGCGGAGCTCACCTTCGTCTCGGTGTGATAAATTTAATTTTCTAAATAAAGTTTATAGGTGAAATGTTGTTGTTTGTTTCTCCAGATTGACTCATTGGCGCAGTTAAGCCCCTCCGTTCTTACTCACGCACCTGTGCTTTCTCTCAACCAATCAGAACTGACCTACCAGATGGTGACGTCTGTCTGGCTGAACAACCAATGGGTCCACTACAAACCCAGTCTTCAGAAATTCATTGAAACGTACGTGCCAAAACTTCTAGAACATTCTGCCAAAATGCTCAAAGGACCGCTAGAGGGCGGTACAGATCGTGTGAGCAACCAAATTATCATCCGGGAGGCGTTAGACTCGGTGCAATTGATAGATAAAGTCAGAACAATGTTGAGATTGATCGACGGCTCCCTAGGAAGCTTCCGAAATGCTGGAGAGCAGATTTTGGAGCGATTTTTCTGCTTTTCGGCTATCTGGGCGTTCGGTGGACTGTTTGCGAAAGAGAGTCGAAATATGTTTTCTGAATGGTGGCATTCGACGTTCTGCTCATCGCCTGTGCCAATCAAAGGAACCGTGAGTAAAATTTTACGTGTTTACTTTAGTTTAAAAAAAAAACACTTTTCTTCTCTGTAATGCTTTCGCTTTTACTTCAAATTTGAAGCTGTCAATTATTCTTAAAATAAAATTACATTTTTGAGAAATGAATTTTTGGGCGAATTATGTGAAACAAAAGGCAAAATAAGTGACTCAATAACCATTTTAATTTGCGAGCTCAAAAAGTCTGATGTACGTTTTTAATTCACAAAAAAAGCAATTCTTTTAGGTCTGGGACTATTACGTCGACTCCGAGACTTGTGACTGGGCTCGTTACGACGAAAACCTGCCCCCCTACTCTGCCCCATCCCAGTGCGGAATAGCACACCACGCCTTCGTACCCACAGTATCGACCCAACAGTTGAGCAACCTGGTCGGATTAGCCCAAGAATCGGGTGCTCCCGTGATGTTGGTGGGCGAGCACGGGTGCGGGAAGACTTCGGTTCTGATGGATAAGTTGAGGGGTCCTTGGAGCAATGACGTTTCAGGGATCAAGGCCACCAAACATTCGGCTGCGAAGTAAACAACTTTAGAAATTGAAGTTATAACTAACATTTTTACTCTTTTTAATTATTACAGTTCTTTTAACTGCTTTTTAATGGTTACTTTTTTGTTAACAATGAACTTTTCTGTGTGATACTATGTTATGGCGCTTGAAAAGAGCGATGTTGTTAAAAAGTCGAATAATAATTTTTCAGCGAAGAAGAATTCCTTTTGGAGTTATTTCCTGTTAATTAGTGAGTATCATAGTCATTTTAGATTTATGTTGTCCGTTCAATCATAACCTAAAAACACATCAAATTTAGGCTCTAAAATCTGTCAGAATTTCATGTTCAAAATACTGTATACTTTTATTTGAATCATTTATATTATCTTTTAAGTCACAGTTAACTTCTTTAATAAATCCATGTTATCTAGTTAACTTTCATCTAAACATTTAGCTCGCGTTGCCCAAACTACAAATTGTATGTAAAATTTTAGCCGGACAAATGCGAAATCACTTTGGTCAGTTCTGAGAGAAAATCTGGAGTGGAAATACGGCAACAACTTTGTCCCCCGAGGCAACAAACAACTCATCTGTTTCATAGACGACATCAACATGTCTGAAATAGACTCTTTCGGCAACCAATCAGCGTGCGAGTTCATCCGACAACACCTCGACTGCGACGGAGTCTTCGATCCCGAGTCGATGAAGTGGAGAAGTTTGTCTAAGACTCAGTATGTGACGACTGTTAATCCGGCTCTGTCTTCGCAGAAGTTGAGCCCCAGACTCCTTAGGCACTTCATGATCTTCAACTGTCCTTACCCCAAGTAAGTCTTCGGGACTAGTTGACATTGACTAGAATTTTGTCTTCTATTTTGAAAGTTCGAGTACTTCAATTAATAGTAAAATTTTCTTATAAAAAATCACGGAGTTCACCTATTTTTGTATTTTAGCAACAGCGACATCCAAACTATCTTCAAGACACTCCTGATGAACCACTTCCTGCCTTTTGACCTCACAGCTCCAGTTGGGACGACGATGTCCAGCTACAGATACAACCAAGAGAAACGAAAGGTCGAGAATCTGCTCTCAACTACAGTCGCCGTCACTACCGAAGTTCACAACCGACTTCGAAGTATGTTCCTACCCACAGTTCAGAGAGCCCATTATGTGTTCACAGTCAGAGATATCAGGACTATCTTCACCAATGTCTGTCTGAGTTTGAGACCCCACTGTGACCGGAAGGACATTATTCTGCTGTGGGAACATGAGAATCAGTGGGTGTTTGGACGAAGGCTAATAGACCACGTCGACTACGACCGGTAAGATAGATTGGGAACCCAATGTTTACTCAAAATTGCAAATTTCTAACATTAAAGGGATCCCTTTATAGCACCTAGAAGTTTACGAATTCCACCATTATAAATTCAATTCTTACAAGATTTTGCAAATTGTGAACCAAGTAGCGAATCCCTTTTTGCAATAAGGAGGAACATAGGTAAAGAGATCCCTGATTGTAAAATTTACTAAAGTAGGCGAATTACATATTTTTGTCACATGTAATTTGTTCACGTTTCATAGATTCGCAGAATGCGTTGAAAAATTTTCTTGAAATGCATTGCCTTCAATCAACTGACAGAAAATTAAGATAGTGGTATCCGGCGGCTTCGGAAAAAGCTACTGTTTTGCGCTTTTTCGAAGTTATGCTACAGATATCATTCAAATAGCGGTCTTTAATTCAATGGCAACTTCCAGAAAAAAAAGTTTTTTTTCTGATGCATAAATCCATCAGTCCAGCCATGATTTTGATTTGACACAGATTTATTTTTAAAATCCATCTCTCTGCAAAATTTAAGAGTCAAATATGATAGCACAGGCTTCGATGTTTTCAATTCAGTGAAATTTTAGTGACAAAGAACTGACTATCAATCGATGATTTTGATGTTCTTCTCAGGTATCAAAAAGTGTTCACGACAGCCGCACGCAAAGAGTTCTCAAACGACGAAGACCTCGATTCTCTGATTGAGACAGAAGTGTCCCGACCCACCTTCAGCAGTCTGGAGGAGACGCTAAGTGGAGTGGTGATTGCGGGACCCCAACCAGGCACTGTGTCTAGGGACGGAAGGTTCCATGACAACTACAGGGCCTTCGAAGATGTCGATGAAGTGAAGGGTGTCTTGAAGGAGTCCATTAAAGAATTCAATAAATCAAAACCCAATATCAGAGTTCCTCTTTACAAGGTAATTTTAGGAAACGTTTCTTTCGTTATTTGACTGGGTTTTCGAAGTATTATTTCAGGGATTTTTTGGATTTATTTAGCACTACTATGCAATCCTCACCCCCAAATGCAGATTATGTTAAAAAAAACCGTTTTATTTAATTGGGCACTTGATTTTGCAGGTGGGGAAGGAGAACAAAATTTTTTCAGGCGGGGGAAGGAGAAAGAGCCGCGAGAGCAAGTGTCTTGGTATTATCGGGAACTAGGCATTTTTCCAGTAAACATCTTCTTGCAAATCTTACCTGCTTATCTTACTGGCTTTTTCAATTTTCATTACCTTATCAATCTTACTGGCATTACCTTATCAATTTTCAGGCTCGTTCCACCTGGCCTAGAGGTGATGGGGACGTTTTGGCATCCTAAGGTCTGGGGACCTACTCCCGGCTGGACCTTGTTTTTTTTGTTATATATGCAATGGAAAAATATTTTTCTGGTTAAATTGAATTGTCGGACTTTTGTTTGTCTGCTCAATTGTTGTCGGTTTAGCTACCACATCACGGATTATCTTGTGCTGTAAGCAGTTTTCGTTATAGCTCTAAGGGTTGTTCATTGTAGTTTCAGTAGGGACTTAAATTTTTTTTGTAATTTTTTTTTCCGGCTCAACTCGTGTCTGCTTTGGCTCAAGCGGCTTTGTTTCTGCTGCATAAGCTCTACTCCGTTGCTAATTTGAAATTCAATTGTTTTGCTTCGGTCGTTGTTTTAGAATAAATTTTTTAAAGAAATATTGTGGGCTTAATTTTTTCAGTTTTTTTTTTTCGTTTTCGACTTGTTCATTTTTTCATGTTTGTTGTGTTTGTTCTGTTTCGCAAGTGATGCAAAGCTACACTTCACCTCTGAGTTCGTTTTTATTCCGATCACTGAAATGAGGAGAAACTCTGTAGATTTTCCTTCCACGCAAAGTCATGTACAAAAAAAAACAAATGGTCTTGAGTGATTTATCATATTAAAGCCATTTCAATTGTGATTCGATCAAAAATTAAAATTTTTCAAAAAGTTTTCACCTTGTTGAGAAAAATTGATTTCAAGTTTTCGCCGAGTAAGTAAAGCGAGCAAGTAACGCGAAAAGTTCTTAATTAAACTATAAAACATTTAGTTTTTAGCTATAAAAATTAGTTTTGACGTTCCCGAGCACTATTAGTTGCATAAACTTGAAAGTGTGATGCTGAAAAAGTTGATTTTTTTCGCACATCAGTTTTTAAATTTTGTAAGATAGCTGTATTCAATGATAACTTTTTATAAAGTTCCGGGAAATTTTGATTTTAACTGCTCCAACCAAGCGCACAACAAAGTGACTCAAATTGGGGGAAATTGTTTGAAAACTCATTTTTTTGTTTGAAAAATAACTGTGATTGGAATTTTCTGTGCTTCTTGCACAGCAATTGACTCCTCTTTTTGTGATCTAGGTTTTTGTTCCGACAATTGAAAATGGGGAGGAACTGTGCATTCATGTGTGTCTTAGTTTTTTTTCTTTCATATTAAAACCCTTTCAGTGGTGATTTGAACGACATTAAAAAATTTGGAACATTTTTTCTCGGTATCGAGCAGGCTTATTAATTCTTTGGTCTAATTTCGAGCTAATAAAGTGAACGAGCAGGCTTATTAATACTTAATTTAAGCCCTTTGCAATAGCTTAATTGTGCCTAATTTAGTTAAGTCGCCTCGAGTAAAATTAGGTTGTTAAGTTTTTAAACGCCATTTTAGGAATCAAAAATTTCAAACATTTAAAAAAAATTAGCAACAAATTTTGAAGAAATTTTTTTTTCGAATTTTTTATAATTTTTTTTGGTTTTCCTTGTCATTTTTCTTCAGACAAGAAAGTATAAAACTTGTTATTTTTCTACTTCAGACAAAAAACTATAAAACTTGTCTTTTTTTTCATTTTTTTGTCATTCTGTGGTCGGAACATTCTGTGCTATTTGCACAGTAACCGGCTATCCTTGCTGCTATATAGATATCTATTTTTCAGTCTACTGTGGAAGAAGTGTGCCGAATAGCCCGTATGCTCCACTCGCCCCACAATGTGGGCCACGCCCTGCTAGTTGCAGACGGGTCACCGGGGGTCATCATGCTCATAGTGTCCATGGCAGCCCACCTGTCCAACTACACACTCTTCCAAATCAGACCCTCCCACCTGGCGGCAGCTGCTGCGAGTACTGCCACTTCTATGGCACATGGGAGAAGCGAGGTTGAGTACAATTTGGAGCACTTTAGAAGAGAGATTTCGACTGGCTACAAACGAGCTGGAGTCAATGTAAGTAGTCGGTTATTTTGATGTAAATCGAGATGGTTCAAATCAGTTCGTGGTTAATTGAATATAGTGAAACGCTAACAATTATTTTCTAAATGATTTTCTGTAGTTTGAATGATTTAACTGGTTAATTGAAGTTTTACTTAATTTTGAGACGAAAAAATAATCTTTCAACGAGATCCGATCGTGTAAAATCTTTTTCTGCCTATTTTTTTGTGTAAAATATCTATTCCTGTAATCATGAAACGTTGATTCGCTTAAGATGACGAAAAAAGGGGATACTTTTTGTTCAGAATGAAAAAATACTGCTGATGGTTACCTTGCATGAGACGAGCTGCGAGGACCAAATCTTGAGTCATCTCCAGGAACTGATCGTCCAGGGACCCCCTGTCAACTCACTCTTCAGTCCTGAAGAACAAACCAGCATCGTCAACTCAATCCGAAGTGCCGTGATCCAAAGTGGTCTTCCATACAGTCGAAGAACTGCGTGGGACTTCTTCTTGGAGAATGTCCGCACTAATTTCAGAGTTGTTTTGGTCACCTCGGCGTCCAAGCATGCGTTCCAGAGACGATGCATCACATTTCCACATTTGACTACTCACATGAATATTATTTTCTTCTCGCATTGGAAGTTGCAACAGTTGATTGAAGTAGCAAATTATCACGTAGATGGTTAGTTAGAATTAATATTAAAATTGTTGGGCCAAGTAGGCTACGCTGTCCTTGAAACTTAGAGACACTCAAATTTCCCATTAAAATTTTATTAATTTTTTATTTGAAAAAAAAAAGAAGCATTTTAAGATTTTTTTGACCATTTTTAAGAATTTACTTCAAGACACGAGGCGAATTATTCAATTTTCTAACAAAATCAATCGATTCTTTTTTTCATGGAAAACTGCCAAAAGTTACCAGCGAAGTATTAAATTGACCTAACTTGTAACCGAATCTCGATTTATTTAGACGAAGACACCGCGCATGTGTTAGCCAACATGCATCTCGCAATCCGGCAGCAAGACGGGGCCGAAAAGAACGCGGGTGAATTCTTCACTCTTACGAACACCACTTACGAGAAGTTCATCGAGCGGTTCGTATACCTGCGAAAGAGACGAGAAACCGAAATCAGAGCCACGAATGAAAAGGTTGAGCATTCGTTACGTAATATAGCCGAAGGCAATGACGTCATTTTGAAGCTGAAGAAGTCTTTGGAGCATGAACGAAGTGTGATGAAGAGTCAAGTTGAAGGAACTATTAAATTGATGGGTCAAATTGGAGAGGCAAAAGCGATCGCAAGACAGAATTTGGTGGTGTTGTATAAGCAACATGACAAACTCATCAATCTTAGAAAAGTGAGTGATTTCGTGATTGATCATTGATTTAGAAAAATTTTTGAAATATTTAATTTAGAAATTTTAAATCATGATTTTTTTTGGGTCTTGTTAAATTTTCAAGCGCTTTGAATAATATGACATTTGTAACATTTTTTTATTGGCCGATTCTATTTTGGGTATTTTTTTAAAAAAAAAAACGCATTTTATAGTCATAATATAAATTTTATAGTCAAAAAATTTTCCAAAAAGTATCTCTTCTGCTATCAGTTTTTCGTAGAAAAAAAATTCATAGAGATGAGAGCAGTTCTCAATATTCCTTAAAATTTTACCAAAATTATTACCAATTTTTTTTTATCAAAAGGGTTTTTAAAGGCGAAGTATATTAGAATATTTTGAACCTTGTAAGGAATTTCATCCCTTTTACAATAGGGGAAGGGGGATTGTTAACCTGATTTTTAACGGGATTGTTAACGGAGATTGTTGCCGTGTTCTGTATACGAATTTTGAATCTCATACGAGTTTTGAACATACACGTTGCATCCTTTTTGGAATAAGGGGAGGAGAATTTTTGGAGGTAAATAAACCAGCCGAAGTATAAAACATAGCCAACTGACAGTTGGAAAAAAGTAATGAAGGCAAGGAAACTGAAAACAAAATCAACTTGTTTTTTCAAAAACCTTCAATTTTTGAATTTCGAAGAAAAAAAATAGACGGCCTTAAAGCTCTTTGAATTTGTAGAACAATTTATGACGGACAGTAACAACGGACTTCCTTTTGATAATAGAAATGCACTGAGGTTAAAATAACAAGTCAAACCGAGAAAAATCAAAACTGAGCGTGAACAAATTTTAAGTCTTTTTCCGGGCCAATTGAGCATTCTCCCACCCCCCCCCCCCATTCTCGCGTGGGGGGAGATAGCTCAATAGGTACTTGAGACATGTTTATAACCACTTGAAAATAGTTTGAATGACATGAAATCATAAACCATATTTTGCAACGACTGTGGAAAGCCAAAACTTACAATATCAAAGCTCAAAAGTTTCATTCAAATAGAAAAAAGAATCAATAAATCAGGCATAAAAAGCGACTTTTTTCTTTCTTAAAATGACAAAAAGCTTTTGCGTACAATATTAAGGTGCTGCGGAGAACCCTTTTTGCTATTCAGATACAAGGCTAGAGCACCAACCCTGGTAAATCGCTTTCCTCGATGAGGCTATGGTCGCCTATACAAAAATTTGCAAAAAAAATTTTTTTCATAAACTTCGAGTTATTTTTATAAATTTTTTCTCGTTACTCATATAAAAAAAACTTTAGTCGGTCAAATGATTGCGTGCTATAAACAAAACATCCATCTACTTCCGTTTGCTGACGTTTTTTTGAAGAGTTTATTCGTTTTTGCGGGGGGGGGAGATAGCTCAATTGGTCATTACGGGGGGGGGGGGGAGATTGCTCAATTGATTCCTTTTTCCTGAATAAAAAAATCAGCAAGACCTATATAAGAGTCTTCACTACGTTCATTACTCTTAACCAGCCGAAAAGTTACATCATATGAATGAATTTTGCATAACTTTCGAAACTGCTACATTATTGTTGCATAAATATGATATAACACTTTCGAATTTTCGGCTGGTTGATACTTCGTCTGGTTTATATATCAACGAATTTTTAAACGCGGTTGTATCCGACATTAGTCGTCTTTTTTTTCAGGCCTTTCCCTAGTTCCGTATACGAATATTGAACAACATACAGTTATTGAACACAGGAGTTCAATAACTGTATGCTTTCTGCAATGAGGGGAGGAACATTTTTAACCGACCTTACACGACTCTTTTTTTTCCTAGGCACTTCCCGAGTTCCGTCTGGCCTATGAGCGGGCGTGTTACAAGACTGAGAAACTGTATTCCGAGACAGTGAAGCTGGTCCATCAACTGGACAATGTGCAGCTGGGGGAGTTGAGAGCGATGCCGAAGCCAGACCAGGAGGTGCAGGACTTACTCGCCACCATCATCAAAATACGTGAGTTTACTTCTGAAATCATTTCAAAAACAATGCAGAACACTTCTAAAATGGCACCACAACGTAACAGCATAACAGCTTCAGAAGTATAGTATTAGCGTGAAAATGTGTTTATATTTAGTAGAATGCGTCGGAAATGATAAAACTAAGTGTTTGGATGCAAAAACATTTAAGTAAATTTCAGACTGTTGAAAAATTTTTTACGATTTTTCTCATTGATTCGTATACAAAAATAACGATTCGTTTTACAAACTCAAATTAAGCTTTTGATTTCCTAACACAACGTAGTATAATATCTTCGCTCAAAACTAAGAATCTGGAATAAGAGCGTCCAATTTGTAATCAAACAATTTCTTGTGCTTTTCTTAAAAATGTGCTAATCTTTTTGAAATATCTAATGATTCTATTCAATATAACAATATACTTCATACCATACAAGGTGCTATGCATAAATGTGGTATTTTAGTTCTTTGCTCATCACAACTTTGTTCAATGGTGCAGATAATCTTTTGAATTGGTGTCATTGGTTTTCTTTGGACCGTTCTGTTTACGCGAAGTGTAAACGTTTGAGTCAAAATGATTTCCGACATCGATAATAACTTCAAAAGGTTATGTAAATCCTTGGATAGATTTTAACTTGATAGTTGTTAAATACGGAGCAAGCGAGTGCTTTCTTTACACTTAAACTCAAAGTTTCCTAATCGAAAGTGAATTCTCAGATAATTTTCTCAGGTTTTCGTCTATTTTATCTTCAATGAAAATTGGAAATGCTCATCGCTTTTATAAATTGAACTTAAAATTTTCCTTATATGGTCAACTACGTGGTCACTGCTCGTCCACGACAATTGCCGAGACAACCGAGCATTCCATTCGGGAGCCGACTTAACACGACTTCTCAATCTTCGGACCAAAGTGTCCCGTGCTGTTTCATAGACACAATTGTGGTTTACATATTCATTTGTCACATGCGAGGACTCACTTCGGGTCTGAGTTTCCGAGCGAGGCCGAACGCGACGCCGAACCCAATTTGTCCCGTGGCCAATAAGTACACACAAGTGCATGACTCAATTATTGTGCAGTGCACGCCAACTTATATGCTCATTTCGGTTCAGGTATAAACAGACAGCTCACTGAGATTGTTTTATAACTCAGAAATGATGACGAGAAAGTTATACAAGATAGTAATCAAAAATTACTGTTAAACTAATTAGAGTTGAATTTGGCATTTCAAATAAGTAAAACAAAGTGATCGGCTGTAATTGAATCATTGCCTCAGCTCATAATATTGCATAGTTTTTTTTTTATAAAAGACTCAAGTTATTTCTTACAAAAAACATCTGTAGTGAGCCCTGAAATTATGTAATACTCACTAATCGAATAGCTAATTTCAACTGTTTTTAATGATTACAGATTTGATATCTTAAAAATAAGTCCTTTCTCGTCATAACTTTGATTGTAAAAATCACACATAAACCGTATTTTCTCAAAAAAAGCCGCCAAGCTAAAAAAAATCATGAAATTTTTTTAATGAAATAGTTTCATGAATTGAAAAAATAAATACCTTCGAATAAAAGATTTCTTGAATAAAAAGACGGTTTTCGATAAAAATTAATTGATTTCACTTGCGAGAGCAAGTGACTGGTAATCGGGAACTAGACTTTTCCCGTAAACAACTTTTCTGACAAATTTTGCTGACAGCTCAATTCTGCGGACATGCTCATTTTCTTGAAAAATCAAATCAAACTACTTTGTTTATCTGAGGTAGTCCTTAGTTTGTTCAATTAAATGTATTGAAAAATTGTTGATTTCGGATTTGTGGTTTTCATCCTAATTTCTGTCGGCTGATTTTCAGTTTTCTTTGAAATGCAATTTGTATTATCTGCTACGCTTTTCAAGCAATTTCTCTCAAAAGCTTGGTTTTTTAATTTTTGATTTCAACGGTCCTAAAACTTTAGGCATCATGAAAACGTACGGGATTTGTTTTTTTTTTTTAATTTTTTTTTGAGACGTTTTGACAATTTTGCCCTTTTTTTAAAAAAAAAAACTTCGCCAATTTTCAAAAAAGTAGATCCAATAACAAACCGCCCACTTCTCTGTATGCCTGCATAATCCACTTGTCTCTTTCTATGTTACCCCACTTTCTAAGGCCTTCGAAAAATTCGCCTTGGGAGGAATTTTTGACCCATTTATTTGTCGAATTTTCCTCTTTCTTGAAAAGTATCAGCCCAAATTTGAGATTTTGGGTTCAATTGCATAAGTGGCTGCGCCAAAAAGTTTTTGCTCAAAAAATTATGGCCCTTAGAAAAGTCAATTTTTTTTGACAGTTTTTTGTAACGTTTCGATTTTTCTCAATAATTACCCTCTCATGTCTTGGATTTTAGGTTCATTGGATAGAATTGATTGTGGGAAGTTCTCTTGTATAAGCGGCTACGCCCGTATTTTTTTACCGAAAAGTTATAGTCCTCGGAAAAGTCAATCTTTTGATTTTTTGACTGTTTTTTGAAGTTTTATGACATGTCTTGAGAACAACTTTCCTTAATCAGAAATTTTGCGTTCAATCGAAAAAACGATTTTTGAAAAATTTTTCTGAATAATCGGCTACGCTCAATTTTTTCGGCACAAATTTTTATAGCCCTCGGAAACGTCAAATTTTTGATTTTTTGGTCTTTTTTTTCGAAATTTTTCGAAACTACTCTCACAAACCTCTGATTTTGTGTTTAATTCAAAAAACGGGACGTGGGAAGGTACACTGCTTAAGCTGATACCCCTTTATTTTTTTTTCAGGAAAAAAATAACAGTCATTGGAACTTTATAGGCATGAACTTTTGGTAGTTTTTTTTGAAAAATTTGACCGTTTTTGTAAAATTTTTGACCGTTTTTCTCAAAAAGCTACGCTGTCAATTTTCAGAATAATGGTTTCATCGAAAAAACAAATTGAGTTTTTTCGCTGCATACGCCGGTGCGCCCTGTTTTATGTAGAAAAAAAATATATTAATTTCGGAAAGGGCTAAAGTTGGTCATTTTCATTTTCTGTATTCTTTTTGATTTTTCATAAAAAATTATCCTGCCAATTGTGAGATAAAGGATTCAATCGGGTTTTTTTTTCGCCGAAACGTCAATTCCCCAGTTGTTACAAGAAATCATGTCATGTCCTTGAAAACGTTCACATTCACAAGTTCTTACCGTTTTCCAAACTTTTCCAAATTTTAGTTTCACTTTTCTTAAAATTTACCCTGTCAAATCTGATACTTAGAGTTAAATCGAAAAAAAAAGTTATGGAAATCTTGCCATTATAAGTAACTTGGCTGTCACAAATTCAATCAAAAGAAATTTTCGTGGGAATTTCCACTACCCTGCCCATTTTCCTTTTGAGTTCATTTGTTAGAACGGGTAATAGGTATCTCCCCTACACCAGCAAATAATCACTTATTTTAGTCAAAAAACGACAAAGATTTTGGATTTTTGAAATTTTCGAAAATTATGCATTTCATCCTGTGTCAATTAAAGCACGTTGTAAAAAATATCAAACGGGTACTTCAAGTTTTAGCTGCGCCCCAAGTGTTAACTAAAATTTATGAATTGTTTTTCGGTTATATGGGCTGGGCTTATGTTTCATCGGTTTAGTCAAACCTAATTTGCGTAGCTTCAAGGGCGAGTTTCAAAATGCCTTTGACCTTTTCAGGAGGGATGGGTCTTAACAGCTTGGACTTCAAAGTTTTTTTAGCTTGAAATGTTTTGTGCCTACTTAATGAAGGTGTTATGCCTTAGCTGACGCTTGTTCATTTTTTCTTAATGCTTTTAAGGACTTTTGTTGAAGATCATTCATTCAAGCCAATGATATGAAATTTTTGTAGATGTAGTTTTTTCAATTAATTTTTGCAGCTTAACTTTTCAAAAAATAATGACTTGCTTCTTTTTTTTCTATCAATATCTTGTAATGCAGCGTTCTACTTGTATTGTAAGTGTTGCGAAGCTCCGCTTTGCTTCTGTGCTAAATACGCGACTTTTACCCGACTTTTATTTGTGAAAATTCGGTAATAGACGGGACTGACTCTGCCTGGGGAACTTGTGCATCTGAATGACAGAAGATGTATTCTGCGAGTGAACTCAACTCACTTCCACATCTTGTTCCCCTACGACCACTGCCACACCACCAGGCACCATTGTTCACACACCATTCATGGATATGTTACTTAAAGATAGAGACCATACATTCCATTCATGAATATGTTACTTAAAGAGAGAGACCATACATTCCATTCATGAATATGTTACTTAAAGAGAGAGACCATACATTCCATTCATGGATATGTTACTTAAAGAGAGAGACCATACATAGGGACATACAATGTGAACAGTACATATACCATTCATGGATATGTTACTTAAAGAGAGAGACCATACATAGGGACATACAATGTGAACAGTACATATACCATTCATGGATATGTTACTTAAAGAGAGAGACCATACATGGGGACATACAATGTGAACAGTACATATACCATTCATGGATATGTTACTTGAAGAGAGAGACCATACATAGGGACATACAACGTGAACAGTACATATACCATTCATGGATATGTTACTTAAAGAGAGAGACCATACATAGGGACATACAACGTGAACAGACTTTCATCAAAACCTATCCCACTTCGCACATATAGGCGGCTCTTAACTACTGATACAAGCAAGGCTGAGCTCTTCTCCAATAACTCCCCGCCCCACCCCTCATACACACCTCTGTTTTTGTTCCGGCCATTTGTATTTCAATTTTTTATTATTATTCCGACTTTCGATACGAAAGTAACGGAATACTTGTGCTCGGGGTGTCTTTTTTTATTCAGACAAATTACGACTTTTTAACTAGCCATTTTTTACAGAATTTTTTAAATATCATTCAAAAGGTATTGTTGTCCTGAGCTTAAATTTGAAAAGATATTTCACCTGTGATCATTTTTCGTAAAGTTATGGGGGTTTAAAGATTGCTATTTTGGCCATTTTTGACCAATGTGGGACAATTAACGCGCGATATAATTCGCGCTATTAACGCGTAAGCGAGATTTAATCTGTCTTAAAAATTGTTCCAAGTTGGTTGAAACAAGCTTATTTGCCATAATTGATTTGTTACAAGGAGTGAAATCTATTCTTTTGTAATTTATATGGCGTGTGTGGGGATGATTTTCTCAAAAAATCAGGTACCAGAAAAATATCATCAGAAAACTTTACTTTAAAGCCCTTTCAGTGACACAAAACTTTAAAGCCCTTTCAGTCGTGATTCGAACGACAGTAAAATTTTTGAAAAATTAATCCCAGTATCGAGAATACAGGTTTAAATTTTTTTATTTTTAGTCTAAATGCGAGCGAATGAAGCGAGCGAGTAACGTTTATTTTAGCAGCGTTTGGCTTGCAATAGCTAATTGATGCTTAATTTAAGCAATTAAAACTTAGATTGATTCTAAAAAAAGGCATTTTTTGGAGCGCCATTTTGGGAATGAAAAACTTTTTTTTTTCAATTTTTTTTGTTTTTCTTGTCATTTTCTTACAAAAACTGTTGTCCCATTTGCCTGTTTTACTATGACTGTGGAATTTGCCTGAGTTCTAGTTTTTCGTTCCGATCCTTTTGTCACATCATACAGAAAGACGACAGTAATTTGAAAAAAAATTTTATGTGTATTTTTAAGACTATGGTCGGAACATTCTGTGCTAATATCTTGTTTATTTTTCATTTCGTTCAAATGTGGCATAAAATTTACCAACATTTTGCTCTCATTAGCAATCTTGTAAAAATAATAATTACACCGAAAAATTGAATTTTTCATCTGGCTGAAGGGATCCGTGGAAGAGGCCATGGACTGTTTAAATTATCATATTTTTTGCGCTTCATCTCACTGTAATAAACCGCTGCTAAATCTTTTATCAAGAATTACATATAGTTTAGCAGTTAGCAGTTCTTTTGAGCTAAAAATGCTGCTTCACGAACGAGTACAGTTTAGATAAGCCTCGAACCGCCAACCTTTCTATCGAAAAGGCAGATTTTTTTGGAAACTTTTTCTTGCATCTATGGAAAGGCTCAAAACTAGGTTCTCAGATGCAACAAAAAAAAAACATTTTTCACTTTAAGTTTTATATATTTGAAAATTTTTCTTGGTTCTCCGGCTAAAATCATAGATCTGCTCCTTAAATGTATGGTGTTGTCATGTTTTGTGAATAACGGTGCCTGATGCCATACTTCTACTGAAAATAGGACCATCCACTCTGCCACTGAAGTGACTTTCGAGCAGACTGTCCAGGTGTTCCCACCTGTGTTCCCCGGGGCACAATCATCCAACTTTGCAGGTGCCACTTTTATCATCAACTTCTATCATAACGCAAAATTATTTTACAAAAATTATTAAATTTTTCTTGACACTGAGACAACTTTTTGATTTTTTTGAAGTAGTAATTACGACAATAGATCTTTAATATAATACAATGCTTGACCCTTTAAGAGCTTTTCTTGGGAAACCGAAAAAAATTTTGGCTAGTCAATTGTTTTTAATCCATACTTATTAGCTTATCCAAAATATTAATCAAAAGAGCCATTAGAAAAGTCTTCAATAAGAGTCTTAAAAAAACTTAGAAAAAAAACAATGATTTGGCTGCATAGTCAATATTTTTGATGATTTTTTGTGAGCAACTATTTGGTCAACTATTTTTTTAAAAAATAGTTGATGTGGGCAACTATTTTTTTAATAAACAATTGAAATTTCAGCCCATGTTAGATGCACTTTGTCCATACATGGTCTGACCATGAAGGGTCTTGATGACCTTCAGATGTATTCGGTGGACGCTTACGCCACTGGTCACCTCAACTTCGAACTCACACTCTTCAAAGACTCCGACTTCCGAGTTCCTCAGCCATTCGGGGCACCACTCATTGTCAAGAAAGGATTTCTTATTCAAACAGGGAATCCCTAGTTTTTGAGATGAAAAATATGTCAGCCAATCAGAACTCAGTGTTCAAAAACCGATAAAATTATGTGTAAAAATCAGAACAGCGTTTAACAGTGTAAAACGTTGATAAAAACGTAAGTTAGGGCCTTTGGGCGAGGGCAGTGTCTCTTTCAAACAATTTTTGTTGATGTTCCAACAATAATTATATTGAGTTAGAGCAGTTCAAAACAATACGCTAGCTTTTTAGCAGAAAGTTCTATTCCCACAAAATAGAAGGAACTTTTTAGGTTGAAAATCATTCAAAATCATGTACACTCTTAAATGATTTTGGTTGATTTTCAACTTAAAAATTTTCTTTTTTATTTAAAAAATCTTGAAATCCTATCTTGTATATCAGTTCCACGAGTCAGACTGTGTTCATATCTGCCAAGTTGATTTCGACTGTCTACAATTCGAAGATAGTCCTCGAGAGCTGTTGGACTACCAAGACAAACAGCAACAGAGACCTCGACAGATATTACCTACTCCAGGCACCAAACGAACAGTTTTTTTTCTGAAATTTTCGTTAAAAAAACCATTTTCAGCAGTTTGAAATCATTCAAGTACATCCAACATTTTGTAGAAAAAAAATCCGAAAAAAAACATGATGTTTTTTTCGGGTTTTTTTTCTACAAAATGTTGGATGTACTTAAAAAACCCCCTCCCCCTTTCAAGAAAGGGGGAGAAATTGTTAAGTTGATTAAGTTAGTCAAATTTTTGACCAATCAGAAAACGGCAAAATTAGAGTTCTCAATGAAAAGCTATAGTGCTAATTTACTGTATTTATTTATAGCGGTGAAGACTATTTAGTAGATGCTGTAGATTAAAAAATATTTTATCTAAATTCTGTGGGCATGTATTTTTAAGTTTTTCTCTCAAGATTCAACAAAACTTGTGCTAATGTGAGGATAGAAAGAAGCCAAACTATTTTGCGCTTCTGCTTCGAATAAGCTTGAAATCATGACTCTGCTAGCTAAAAAAAACAATTAACATCATGTGTGTTTTCTCGGAAATTTAAACTGGAATTAAATATTTTTGATGCCTGGTTTTTTGGAGAAACGAGCTCCTCTTGATTCGACCTTTCATGTACTCGAGAATATTTCAAAAAACAACGAAATCTTCTTCCAATTCGAGTCGTTTCGTTTCGTCGACGAGAGCCGAACTTCTCTTATATACGTACATTGTGACATCATAATTTGTTCAACTCATGAGCCGAGTTTTCAGCAGTGTATTAATGATTCGTGGCACGAAAGCGAACCGAAAAAGGAAGTTCCGAATATGAAAAGAAATGTGGAACCGAGTTCTCATCAAAAGAACGATGTTCTAGATTATATAAGGAAGCGAAATATTTTTAAACTTTCTGCTCAAACTCCAATTCTGAAACTGAAATCTAAGTCCAAAAACTATCAATCTTTATCGAGGATTCCTAGAAATACTTTCGATGTAGTTTTAGGCAGTTCTAGAGCTAATTGTGTTTTCAATCCTCATTTTTCAATTCCTCTTTTTTTGATTTCTTTTTATGTCAATTGTGTTTCTGCTTATAATTTGAATACTTGTATTTTGTTCAATTAATTCTTTTCTCTTAAGTTCAGTGTTTTCCAGTTCAATTAATATCTCGGGCTATTTGTCTAAGAAATTTTCCAACCGGAATCATTTCACATATAAAGTATCAGATACCATAGCAAAATCATACCATAATTCGGAAATTAAACCTCATCGAGTGATTTTATAATTACGCCCAAAATCTCACTCAAATATTTAATAATACACTGAAGTACTTCATAATATCAAATCTGAAGTGTGTATATTTCATATTTTTGGGTAATTTCAGTGAAAGCGCCAAACTCTGATTCCACGTGGGCGAAGGGTGCCAAACGACAGATGGCCAACTTGGAGCGATTCAAAGAGGAACTTCTTCGATTCGAACAGGAGCCGATGAAGAAAGCGACACTGGAGATGGTGGAACCCCTCGTGAACAAACCCAGTTTCACGCCTGACCAGATGACGATGCGGGCCAATGACAACAAAGCGGCCGGAGATCTGGCTCAATGGGTTCTCAATGTCATACAGTTAGTGTAAAGTACAACATTTAAATTGCTAAAATTCATAATATTAAGATTTAAACTTGAAGGTGATTTTTTTCCGCGAACATTTATCAACACAAACCAAAAAGTTAGTTTTTTGGTTGAAATTTGAATGCATCAACCATTGGGAAGGAACTAAGGTTTCTAGCGTATTTTTGCCCCGCGCAAAATTAGGTGAAACAAAGACGTGCGGGACTGAGTGATATTTAATCATCGAGCCCTTTCATTCGTGATTCAATCAATGTATGAATCTTTGGAAAAACTCTTTCTCGAAAAAAAATTGGTTCCTGTTTTTGGTTTTGTGACAGTTTACAGCTATGTAATTTGGAAAAAAAATCGCAAAATATTCAGTGAAAAACATGGAAACATTTGGTTTGCAAGGACTTCTGTCTTTTTTGCGAGTTGCGGTATTATGGTGTCTCTCTTCTGTCTAGGTTCAACAAACTGAAGTACGAGAAGGTGCGACCCCTGAAGGAGAAGGTGGACTTGACGGGGGAGGAGTTGCGAGAGGCAGAGGGGAAGATGGTCAGTCTGGAGAGCAGGAGGGGCGAATTGGAACAGAGGTTGAGGGAACTGGCCAAGAACTATGAAAAGGCTACGGTGGATAAAAACAACCAGCAAGAAGCAACTGTCAACATGGACCAACAGGTAACGGCTCTATCTGATTATAGCCCCAAATCCATCTTTCCCAGTAACTTAAAACCAATGAACCCCACCCCCTCCCCCCCCTCCCCAGCCTAGCCAAACAATTGACGCCACCACCGAAGTTTATTTTGCTGTTATGATAGGGGCTATAATTTGGTGGGTGCTCTTTAATGGGAAAGATTCCTTGAAGTCGTATAAAAATGGCTGGCTTGACTGTTATCGGGTGGGGTCTCAATAATTGTTTTGCACAATTAAGTAACCACCAAAGTTACGTTGCAAGGGTATGTCCCGTCGTTCATTTTATTCCAGGTTGACGAAGCTACCCAGTTTGGCCTAGTGATGATGCACCAAGTAGACGTATGCCAGAGTATCCAGAGTGCATTCGAGGAGCGACAAGCCACTGTTTGTGGGAGCATTGCTCTCTGTGCTGCTTTTGCAGCCTACTTGGGACCCTATGGCTTCAACTTCAGGGCCTCGATGATGTTGGAACACTGGCCCAACTGCCTCACCCAGAGAGGGATTCCAGTCCAGTTCGACGTCATCGATCCCCTTAATGGTTATTAATTGTCTGATGAAGTTCCTATTGTTTTGAGTGGTTCCCAAGCTTATCACCCCGCGTTTTTAACCCCCTTTTTTAACCCCTCTCATATAACCCCAGAATTAAATAACCCCACTACAATTTAACCCCGTTTTAATACCAATTGTTAGAATCAAAGTGAAAATTACTTGAAAGGAATTTGGAACCTAATTGCGAAAATTTTTGCGAAGCAAAACGAAATAACATGCAAGCTGCTAAATGCGGTTTAGATTTGAACAGAAATGACCTTACCGATAGTCTAGACTCTGATATGAACTTGAAAACCAATCCGATCGGCTTGATTCCAATTATTAACCAAAAATGATTAGATTTCTGCAAAATTGAACTTGATCTTGAATATAATCTTGCTAATAATAGATTAATTGGCTGAATTTAAATGAATAATGGAATGAAAACTGGTTGTGATCAAAACTTTGACCGATCTAATCTAAGTTTTTTTTCAAATTGCAATCATTTTAAGGTAAAACTTAACTATTTTTCGAACCATCTGAAGTTTGTCAATTTTTTGAACTGTCGGCATACAACGCAATGTCTAAAGGGTTTGCCAGCCCCCCTAGTCACAACCTAGCGTACCACCAAAGGAGAGATTTTTCCGGGATTAAATTGTTAGAGACACCGTTTTTCAAGTGCGAGTCAAGTCAATGCGTTTTTTTACGTCTCCGGGAGGCTGCAAGGAGACGTCTTTTCTCAAAAAAATGACAAACAACATTTCAGTTTTAAAATATATACCAAGAACAAATGAACAAATTTTTTGCTTAAGTTCGCCATAGCTTGAAAGAAATGTTAATCAGTTTTTTTTCGTAAACCGGCATAATATTCTGCACTTTTTCGTTTAGGACTCGATACTTTTTCTTTTTTTGTAAATTGGTGCCCGCATGAGGCGTTAAAGAAACTAAGTTTTTGAAGGGAGGCGTCTTTTGCAAGTTTGCGATTGCTTTCCAAATACTAGGGCGTGAACCACTAAAATATGACTGTATGCCATAATGCCAGCCCTCCTCACCATTTGTTGTTCTTGCCAAACCGGATGTTGCCGCATCTCTTTGGTTTCATTGTGAAGGGGGAATAGGACTTCTCGGTTCGGGACTAGACTTTTTATTTAATTATATCCAAAATACAGGCAGAGCTCATCAACTTTTGCAATTTTTTCCGACTCTTTTATGGTGCGATATATATATATATATATTTAAGACTATGGTCGGAACATTCTGTGCTATTTGCACAGTAGCCGGCTATCCTTGTTAAGTAATGTGTTTTGCTCGTAGGACGCTATGTTGAGTACAGTTTCAACGACGAAATGTTCGACGCTTCCGAAGGGGACGAAGACGAAGCGAATGAGTTCATCCAACGAGGCCACGAACTAGAGCCGACAGCATATGCCGAGAAGAGTCAGTCGGTTCTCGGAGGAGACGACAACGACCGAGGTGTCGAGTTTGAAATGAAGTTCGGCCGCAATGAAAGTGCACAGAACATGGCAACACCTCCGAACGAAGTCGGAAACTACTCGACAGAGAACAATAAAGAGACTGGAAATTTTGAAGTGCGGCCAAAATCGCATAATTTGAATAGTTTTTTTTTTAACTTTAAAAATTATTTGTTCTGGATATTTGCTCTGTGCTAGTTAAACACCTTAAATAGTTTTCCAAAAATGTGAACAAACATGCTTCAAAATTATTACCCAATTACTTTTGCGGTCTTTTGAAACGTGTTTAGTCTATATTTAAAGCCAAGCGCTTGGCACAATGAGTGAGCTTGAGATGTTTAACTGTTTAGAAACGAGAGTTTTTTCATGTTATTTAGGTTTTTGACTCTGTTTTGCGTCTTGAAATGAGTGAAAGTTAGTTTCGATTGACCAAAAATTATGTCGTCAAGGATTTAAGAGTATCTATATTTTTTTCTTCAGGATACGACAGTAAACTCGACAACAATGGCTGAAAATGAAGCAGAGAGTTCCGAGCGGAAATTAAATTTGTCTTCCGTTAATACGACAAAAGACAAATCCATGTCGGATCAAAACAGAAAATCTTCTTCGGATGAAAACACAAATGTTGCTCCAAACGAAACAACAAAATCATCGTCGGACGAAAACGCAGAAACCTCCGATCAAATGCAAGATGGCGACCAGCAACAGCAACGTATGCTTGTAATCGAGCAGGACAAGTCTCAAACAATTAGTAGCAAAACAAGTACGGGCGAGCCTCTTGAGCAAAATAGTCGTCTGACCCCCCTGGAAGAGAGGAACAGTGGGGCTGAAGATGTTGAAGGGGGTGACAGGAAAAATATGGTGATGGATATCGAGCAGGAGCACCTGGATAGGTACCAGATGTGTATCAAGGCTGTGGTGAAGATGCTGATTGGAGAGGACAAATTAAATCACTGGCTAGCTGCTGGTTGGTGGAAAATTTTTGATTAATTTGCTCAAATATATTGACAAATCCCAAATTGTTGTATTAAATTGCATTCAAATTTTTTTAACCATGTGCAAAACGAAATTCGAAAGTCACAACTTGAAATACTTAATGAAAATTTTGCTTCTATTTTTTATTTTTTACCAGAGATATCGGCCATTTAATTGCAAAACTAACCTTTTTAAAAGAAAAAATCTTTAATATAAATTTAAAGTTATATAACTCTAAATTTTAATATAAACGCTTCTGAAACTGGTATAATACTCTCTTTTCTTGCCTTGTCTAGGTTACACGTTGAGTCAGATCGAGAATGCGGCGATAGTTCTCGCTTTTGGTCACGTGAGACCCCCACTCATCATCGACCCAGACGGGGAGGCGGAACAGTGGATCTGCAACAGCTTCCAAAACATCAAGTCCATATCGCTCGCACGGTAGTGTTTTTGGATAGTTTGAACCTGAACTTCCTAAACTCTCCTAAATGTCTCAAAAAGATTATTCAAACCATCAAAAATTTAAAATGACTTGTCTAAAAATGACAGGCTTTTTAATTCAAGGAAATCAAAATGGTTGATCTGGAGAAATTGGAACCCTCTCCCTTTCAAAACTTAAATTTTTTACGCATTTCTGTGTTTATAGTATATCTTATTTTGGGTTGTCCAATTAACTTGGAAATTTTCTGCCTTTTAAAACGCACGATGTTGATTTCTATGAAGTGTTTGTAACTTTGAGTTCAGAAATGGAAATTTGATATGCAATTGCTTGTTTTTTTCAGCAAAGACCCCAACAGCAAACTGGAGATTATGAAGGCACTAAAGGAGGGCAGAGAAGAAGACGAAGACGAGGAAGAAGAAGCTGAAGAAGACGAAAGAGAACTTGATAAAAATGAAGGCGACAAGGAAAACGACGAAGACGCTGATGCAAAATCACCGCCAGTGAGTTCATTTTGAATAATAAAATAAGCTTAGAGAAATCACAATAAAAGCTCCAAAACATGAATTGTGGTGACTCTTTTAAGTTTGACCTCTCAGGGGTGCTGTTAGCGTTTACCCTCATGTCATCATTTTCACTATATGGAACTCTTGATTGAATAGTACAACTGTTATGAAGTTTTGCTTGTTCACATTTTTTGTTAGCGCATTTTAAGCACGTTTGATCTTCATGTATATTTTTTAAACATCACTGCTCATACGATGCAATTGTTAAAGATCCGAAGGTTGCTTATGATTTACGCTTGTCAGATGAATGATATATTTTTACATGACGGCATATCTTTTACGCGTGGGCTATTTTGTCATATAGAATCTAATGACATGGCATGTTTTTTCCTGACACCGATTATTTAACATAAAAGAAGGTCCAAAAATTTACTTTGATTTATTTATTCAATGAGCTTTACGTCTGGTAATTTCTAAAAGTTTTTGCGAATTCTCGAAATTTTAACTTGTTTGTCTGGCCATTTTTATGTTTTTTTTTAAAAATGTGTATCCGATTGAATCATAGTTATGAAAGATGTTGACAGCCCTGACTACGTGTATCAATCTCGTTTAATTTCAGGCGACCCTGGTGATCACAGGAGTCTCTGAACCGGTGGACTCTCTGCTGGGACCCCTGATTCTGAACAAGAACATGCAGAGAGAGGAGGCGAAGTGGGAGGAGCCGGGGCTGATGTCATTCGACGGACACCTCATGGTCTGCAACGAGGACTATTCTCTTTTGATGACCTGTGACGACAAGACTGTCAAGTTCAACTCGAATCTCGCCTCCGTCACTACTCTTGTGTCTTATGTACCTAATGAGGTCTGCTAATTTGGTCTGATTTCTTGATTTTCTTTTGCAACGTTCCCTTTATCGTTTTGCGAGCCCCAATTATTTGAACCATTCAGTGTGCTAATTTCAGGGCGGATTAAGGGGAAGCGGACGCCCCCCCCCCCCTCAGGGATTCGACCCCCTTCGACCCCCTACCTTTGGTACTTTTTAAGAAATAGATTTTTAGCCGATCGACCCTAAAATTTTTCTAAAGGCGCCTTAGGCGCCCACATATGCTAATTTTGAGGGGGGAGCGCGCGCCGAAAAAACGCGATTTTTTTATCAAAATTTTCCAAAAAGTGCCGAAAAACGCCTTTTTTGGCCTGTTTTTCAAAAATTTTGCCTGTGCCGCACAAATTTTGGCCAAAACAGGGTCTTTTTAGTGCTTTAGGAGAGCTCGGAAAATCAATTTGGTCGACCTGGTTTCGGCGCCTATATTTATTAGTTTTGAGGGGGAAGCGCGCGCTGAAAAAACCTAATTTTTTGGTAAAAGTTTTCCAAAAAGTGCCTAAAAATGCCTTCAATTTGAGAGCTCGAAAATCAATTTGTTCGACCTACAAAACAGTCGACAAAATTATTTCCGAAAATTTTTTGAAAATCCGCCCCCCCCCCCCGCTCGAGAAAATCCTAGATCCGCCCCTGGCTAATTTGGTCTTGTTTCGTTAAATTTCTTTCTTGATTTTCTTTTGCAACGTTTCCTTTTTTATCGTTTTGCGAGCCCGAATTATTTGAGCCATTCGGTGTGCTAGTTCGGTCTTGCTTTTTTCGATTTCTTTCTTGATTTCCTTGAGCAATTTTGGTTTCCTTCGTTATCATTTTTCGAGCCTCTATTGGAGCCCAATCTAACATATTTTGAAAAATTCAATCTTTTGGCGAAACGTTTTAAAAGCGAAATTAAAACGCAAAACTTTTTCGTTTTATCGAAGTGCTTTCAAAATTATGAAAACATAGTTGCATATCAACACCGAATCTAGTACTGAATTTATTCCGCCCTGAAGTTTTCATACCTCACTTAGATCATCTTGAAACTGAATTTTAAGAATAGTCCTATTGCAAAATTGTTTTTTTTTCATCCCCTGAGCAGTTTTTTAATAGTAACAAAATATATCGGATCTATCACTTGAACGCTAATGTTGTTGTTTTTTAGCTGAGTCTGTACCAGAAACTGCTGGACTTGACGTTCCAGTACTTGCACCCCCGAGTGGCGGCGGAGAGGGGGAGGGTGTTGCGGAGTTGGTGGCGATGTCAGCAGAGGATCCGCCAGCTAGAGCAGACTCTCTACCACAAACTGACTAACTTCTCAGGGGATAATGTGTGGGCGGAGTCCACAGTGGTCAAGAGCATAGTTGAGACTATGGACCAGGTGAGAATTTTTCATCTGTCGAAAAGTCGCTTTTCCAGTTACTCTCTCCCCCTTTTGGTTTTTACGTAAATAGTTTTTCACAAAGTATAATGATGATTTCCATTACAATCGAACGAGGTTAACCTGCGCTTAATTGGTTAAAACTCACGGAGAAGGCAGGTAATAAGGAAAAATATCACAGTTTTTTTAAGGATTTTTTCAACTTCCCTTTCACTTTGCAGAAAGAGGGAGATTTGTTACTATATACACAATTCGGCTCTTTTCGACTTCCCCCCACATTTGAATTTCAGTTTTAAAAATTTCATTACGAGCCCAAACTGTGCACTGGATAGGTGCACAATTTTGGTTCTGTATGTTCCTGGATTTCAGCGACAAGTTCTTAAACATGTTAAAATTTTGTCGGAACGATCAAAGAAAGTGAAAGAACAAAAGAAGAACTAAGGGAGCGTGCTTGTTGCTGAATTCGCTTACAATTCACAAATTGCACAGTTTGGCCTCGTATTATTTTTATAGGTTTCCCCTTCTTAACTTTAAACAGTTTAATGCCATACAACTTCATTCGCTACTTTATGTTGCCTTAGCAATTCAACATCGCTACATTTTCAAACCATTTCTATAAATTAACACCGTTTTTATCCAAAAAAAAGAAAACTTACTTCAAAGGGGTCTTCGGTAAACATCAAAGAATTAAACGAGAGTAGATTTTGCCTTTCACAGCCAGAAAATTTTGCGCTACCTAATTCGCGTAGGTTTTGAACAGAAATTACCTTGCCAAAATTTGATTGAATCGTTCCAAAACAAGCAATAATTCAATGAACTTCAAAGGACCACAAATAATTAGACGGCCTTTGACTAAAATGAACTAATTTCCCAGACATTTTAGGCCGGTCTAGAAATTTATGAAGGTTTAACCAACGCCGAAAGCCAAAAAATCATTCAATTTTAGAATCATTCTCGAACTTAAACCTATAACCTGATCGCTTTGTCAGCTGTTTCTGAATTGTTGGCGCATAAACGCAAAGTTAAAAGGTTTGCCAGCCTCTAGTCTCCACCTAGCTACCCGAAAATCAGGGCGATTGTCCTAGGATTAAATTGCTAGTGCACGGGTCAAGTTCTTGCGTTTAGTTACGTTTCCGGGAGTCTGCAATGAAACATTTTTTCAAAAAAGCTGACAAAAGCTTAAGAAAGATTGAAATTTGATTTCTAATAATGCGAAAGAATAAACAGAAATGAGACAAAATTTACAGCGGCTTAACGTAAACTAAATAACGCTCTGAAAAAATACAAATCATTTTTGTCTTCGTAAACGTACATTATGTTTTGTACTTTTGCATTTAATACGCGGTACTTTTTCTTTTTTTTGAACTTATGGCCACTAGATGCATCAAAAAAGCTTATTTTTCGTACGGAGGCATTTTTTTGCAGGATGCTCACTATTTTCAACATACTTGGGTGGACTCCGCTGAAATAGGATTGGATACCGAAATGCCATCTTTCGACAGCATTTTTTGTTCTAGCAATCCCACTCTCGGCCGTATCTCGCTGGTTCCAATAAACCCGGAGTAAAATACGGTTTGGCGCCATGCTTTTTATATAAGTAGAGCCAGAGTACAGACTCAACTCAACAGTTTTCTAAATTTTTTTCGGTTCTAAACAATTTTTGTCGCATACATTCTAAATTTCCTGAACGATCATATCATAGAAATTGCCGATCTTTTTTTCAAATGCAAGAGAAGGCACAATTTTTAAGGCCAGCGCTAAATTGTGATTCGTTTCGTAGGTCACTTTAGGACCCAATTCATTAATTTCTCTCATATAACTCTGCGAGAGATGGAGAAAACAATCCGATAAATGTATTTCGTGGAGTTTATTAACGCCTGCAAGAAGCGATTGTAGTTTTTTTTTGGTTTTGTTGGGAAGGAAGGGGTATATAGCTGGTGCATTGCCAGATACATTAACATGAATTAAATATAGCTGATAGAACATTTTTGGAGTAATTTTAAAAATTCCATCGCCTAACCAGAAAGATGATTTTTCCAAAACTCTCAGCATTTCGAGGTCACCGCACAAAATGATTCGCTCGTGATTATTTGATCTACTGTCATACCGTTTTCAAAATTTTGAGAGATCTCGAATTTTCGCGCAACGGTGATGGGTGGCATATTTACATCTAGCTGCTTACGTTTGCGCGCAGGCGTTCGGATCAATTTGTCTTTAATTGGGAGGGCAAAATGATTGACCAAATCATTTTTCACTGGTAAAACTGCTTTGGCAACTGCGACAGTCGGTGTAAATCTCTCGCTGAGATCTTTTAAAAGCTTGATGGCATTTCGGGCATCTAATTTTTGCGCTGAAATATCATTTTTGGGCTCTCCACGCGTCTCGATCAATCCGTTAGTTTCTGTAATGGCCGATGCTCGACATTTATGTTTTTGATAGTTTGAGCAAATCCAGTTCTCGGTTAAGTTTTTTTTTCGCTTGAAAAATAATTTTCGGCCGGACGCTATGAGAATTGGCTTGTTTCTAGATGAAACTGTGAATTCGAAAGAAGACTCAGTCGTAATCTGTTTATTGTGTTTGCGTTTGTTTATCACTTGAGTTTAGTATAAAGTTAAAGTTATATTTGTCAAAAATTTTATGTTAAATTGTTATGAATTAGCAGATGCAGGTTTTTTAGTGATCATAATGGTTAAGCGAAAAATTCTAATTGAAAATAAATTACGAACTTTTCGATAAGGTCTCAAGTAATTCAGGAAGCCTCATTCTAGCATGTATAACAAAGATAAACCAAGTTTTTCAATATGATGCGTGCTTTAATTGCAGGATTGACTTTGGTATGATAAGAGTTAAGATAAGGAGTTCATAGAGCATTAATTTTAGTAGTGAAATGGTGTTAAAAAGTACGGTGTTAAACTGGAAAATAGGAGTTCAATTGTCGTGGATTTAAATTGTTTTATACTGAAATCACTAGGTGTTAAAATGTACGGTGTTAAATCGGCTAGTATTAAATTGTGGGACAACTTTTTTACATTTTCATAATGTAATGAAATTTTGCATGGTGAACAACTCAACGCATCACGCATTCAACCATATTAACCCGTAAGACAAGTAGAATACTATTTATATGTTTAGCTTGTTTTACGTGTTAATATGGTAAATATGTTTAGCCGATGAATTCGTTCTTTATGGGGGGAAGTTCGTTTCTAGGTACCATAATGGGGGAAGGGGGCTTTGGGGTTGGGGGAATAATGAAAGAGATCCAAATTTTATACACTTTTGCTCTCCAGATCAACGACAAGATGGAGGCTTACCGTCTAGTGTTGGACAGACAGGAATCGCTGCGGTCGAAACTGAGTGCGATAGCGGAGAGAGCGGCCTCTTTCTTCTACCTCATCCAGAACCTAGACACACTCTCCCCCTCCTACAACTTCTCCCTCAAGTCCCTCGTCAACACTCTCAGACAGGTGTTGAAGCAACACAGGGGCACGGAGGCAGAGGCCCAATGGGGGGAGCAAGAGGAGGGAGGGGACGAACTGTCCTTGGTGAGTCATTAAGAAATGTTGCTGTGTTTTTTTGAAAAAGCTGCAATTTTTTTGGTTAAAATAGGGAACTGTTATCCATGCAATTTAAAAAGTTCAATCTAGGCATTTGAAAAAAGGAAACGTGCATATAAGAAACAGGTTCAAAAATTTTACGTAAAAACTCGAAAAATGTTTTTTTTTTCAGAAACTAGAAAACCAGAAAGGTTTGCACAACGTTTTTAATGCGTACATGTCATCAAAAAACCTAATTCGAAGTTGGATGTGAAGGTTTTTTTTACCTCTATCTTAAACTTTTGTATTCTTCTTTTTTTAATTTTTTTTCGGATTACATTGCTCGTAAGTTAACTAGTTCACAAAGTTAAACGCTAATATAAGTTTTTAAGGGTCGTCGTTGAATGTTTTATTATTAAGATCCTTAGATTATTAAGATCATTTATCCACGAGGGATAGGACCAACATACGAGCTGTACAGCTCATCACGGCGAACCGCTGTTGTGCCCCTGCTTAAGAACTACATGCAATTTTTTTGGTTATTTTTCTGGGCTGGGTAATTTTGCCTCACCCTCATGGTGGGCCTCGAACATCCGATTTTCATATAGTGAAAATTCTTGTATACAGGCCGTGATGATTTTTTTGATTTTTTTCACGGACATTCTTAAAAATTGATCAGGCTCGAGTTTGTTTTTTTACGGTTTGAGTTTTGATTTTAATTTGAACTTTAAAAAAATTATGAAAAACGTAATTTACTTTATTTTTGAAAATGAATTTAAGTTTTAAAAACTGATGTTTTTTTTCAGGAACACTCTTAAATTTTGATCAAGCTCAAATTTCTTTTTTTTTTGCGGTTTGACTCTTCCAGATCAGTTCATTTCCTGTGTTAAAAGGAAAGCAAACGTCACTGTTGTTTTAACAGCAAAAGTGAAAAAATCATTAAAAAAACGTAATCGACTACTAAATTTGAAAAATATATTTAATTTTACGTTTTAAAAATTGACGATTTCTTTGGTTTTACAGTTTTAAGTTTTGATCAGGCTTAATTTTGAGTTTTTGCGGTTTGACGTTTAATTTTTTTTTTAATTCAGTTCATTTCCTTTGGTAAAAAGAAAGCAACCTCCACTGTTATTTTGACAGCTGAAGTGAAAGGGCACTAAAAACTTAATCCACTTCTAGTTTTGACAATGAATTTTAGTTTTACGTTTTCACAGCGGTAAAAAATTACCTATTGAACCAACTTTCTCAAATTGTGTTAATTTTATCGCAGTATTGTCAAGCATAGATTGTTCTTCAAATTCAAAGAGCTTTAAGGCCATTTTTTTATTTTAAATTCAAAAGTTGCCAAGTCAGTTTTTTTCTGTTTCCTTGCGTTTATTGACCTTTTTCCGACTGTATGCTGGTTATGTCAAAATTTTCAAATGCATGCTCTCAAAGACCCCTTTTTACAATTATTACTCAAAGTTTGAAGGTTTCTTTCAAACTTGCAAGATTTTCTGCTTCCTGGTCTAAAAGTCCGTCTTCACCATCTCCAGTAGGTTTTTCAATGGATTTTCTGGTTCCTGGTCTACAAAGTCCGTCTTTACCATCTCCAGTAAGTTTTTCAATGGATTTTCTGATTCCTGGTCTAAAAAGTCCGTCTTCACCATCTCCAGTAAGTTTTTCAATGGATTTTCTGATTCCTGGTCTAAAAAGTCCGTCTTCACCATCTCCAGTAAGTTTTTCAATGGATTTTCTGATTCCTGGTCTAAAAAGTCCGTCTTCACCATCTCCAGTCAGTTTTTCAATGGATTTTCTGATTCCTGGTCTAAAAAGTCCGTCTTCGCCATCTCCAGTAAGTTTTTTAATGGATTTTCTGATTCCTGGTCTAAAAGTCCGTCTTCACCATCTCCAGTAAGTTTTTCAATGGATTTTCTGATTCCTGGTCTAAAAGTCCGTCTTCACCATCTCCAGTAAGTTTTTCAATGGATTTTCTGATTCCTGGTCTAAAAGTCCGTCTTCACCATCTCCAGTAAATTTTTCAATGGATTTTCTGATTCCTGGTCTAAAAGTCCGTCTTCACCATCTCCAGTAAGTTTTTCAATGGATTTTTTGATTCCTGGTCTAAAAGTCTGTCTTCACCATCTCCAGTAAGTTTTTCAATGGATTTTCTGATTCCTGGTCTAAAAGTCCGTCTTTGCCATCTCCAGTAAGTTTTTCAATGGATTTTCTGATTCCTGGTCTAAACAGTCCGTCTTCACCATCTCCAGTAAGTTTTTCAATGGATTTTCTGATTCCTGGTCTAAAAAGTCCGTCTTCACCATCTCCAGTAAGTTTTTCAATGGATTTTCTGATTCCTGGTCTAAAAAGTCCGTCTTCACCATCTCCAGTAAGTTTTTCAATGGATTTTCTGATTCCTGGTCTAAAAAGTCCGTCTTCACCATCTCCAGTAAGTTTTTCAATGGATTTTCTGATTCCTGGTCTAAAAAGTCCGTCTTCACCATCTCCAGTAAGTTTTTCAATGGATTTTCTGATTCCTGGTCTAAAAAGTCCGTCTTCACCATCTCCAGTAAGTTTTTCAATAGATTTTCTGATTCCTGGTCTAAAAAATCCGTCTTCACCATCCCCAGTAAGTTTTTCAATGGATTTTCTGATTCCTGGTCTAAAAAGTCCGTCTTCACCATCTCCAGTAAGTTTTTCAATAGATTTTCTGATTCCTGGTCTAAAAAATCCGTCTTCACCATCTCCAGTAAATTTTTCAATGGATTTTCTGATTCCTGGTCTAAAAGTCCGTCTTCACCATCTCCAGTAAGTTTTTCAATGGATTTTTTGATTCCTGGTCTAAAAGTCCGTCTTCACCATCTCCAGTAAGTTTTTCAATGGATTTTCTGATTCCTGGTCCAAAAGTCTGTCTTCACCATCTCCAGTAAGTTTTTCAATGGATTTTCTGATTCCTGGTCTAAAAGTCCGTCTTTGCCATCTCCAGTAAGTTTTTCAATGGATTTTCTGATTCCTGGTCTAAACAGTCCGTCTTCACCATCTCCAGTAAGTTTTTCAATGGATTTTCTGATTCCTGGTCTAAAAAGTCCGTCTTCACCATCTCCAGTAAGTTTTTCAATGGATTTTCTGATTCCTGGTCTAAAAAGTCCGTCTTCACCATCTCCAGTAAGTTTTTCAATGGATTTTCTGATTCCTGGTCTAAAAAGTCCGTCTTCACCATCTCCAGTAAGTTTTTCAATGGCTTTTCTGATTCCTGGTCTAAAAAGTCCGTCTTCACCATCTCCAGTAAGTTTTTCAATGGATTTTCTGATTCCTGGTCTAAAAAGTCCGTCTTCACCATCTCCAGTAAGTTTTTTAATGGATTTTCTGATTCCTGGTCTAAAAGTCCGTCTTCACCATCTCCAGTAAGTTTTTCAATGGATTTTCTGATTCCTGGTCTAAAAGTCCGTCTTCACCATCTCCAGTAAGTTTTTCAATGGATTTTCTGATTCCTGGTCTAAAAGTCCGTCTTCACCATCTCCAGTAAATTTTTCAATGGATTTTCTGATTCCTGGTCTAAAAGTCCGTCTTCACCATCTCCAGTAAGTTTTTCAATGGATTTTTTGATTCCTGGTCTAAAAGTCCGTCTTCACCATCTCCAGTAAGTTTTTCAATGGATTTTCTGATTCCTGGTCTAAAAGTCTGTCTTCACCATCTCCAGTAAGTTTTTCAATGGATTTTCTGATTCCTGGTCTAAAAGTCCGTCTTTGCCATCTCCAGTAAGTTTTTCAATGGATTTTCTGATTCCTGGTCTAAACAGTCCGTCTTCACCATCTCCAGTAAGTTTTTCAATGGATTTTCTGATTCCTGGTCTAAAAAGTCCGTCTTCACCATCTCCAGTAAGTTTTTCAATGGATTTTCTGATTCCTGGTCTAAAAAGTCCGTCTTCACCATCTCCAGTAAGTTTTTCAATGGATTTTCTGATTCCTGGTCTAAAAAGTCCGTCTTCACCATCTCCAGTAAGTTTTTCAATGGATTTTCTGATTCCTGGTCTAAAAAGTCCGTCTTCACCATCTCCAGTAAGTTTTTCAATGGATTTTCTGATTCCTGGTCTAAAAAGTCCGTCTTCACCATCTCCAGTAAGTTTTTCAATAGATTTTCTGATTCCTGGTCTAAAAAATCCGTCTTCACCATCCCCAGTAAGTTTTTCAATGGATTTTCTGATTCCTGGTCTAAAAAGTCCGTCTTCACCATCTCCAGTAAGTTTTTCAATAGATTTTCTGATTCCTGGTCTAAAAAATCCGTCTTCACCATCTCCAGTAAATTTTTCAATGGATTTTCTGATTCCTGGTCTAAAAGTCCGTCTTCACCATCTCCAGTAAGTTTTTCAATGGATTTTTTGATTCCTGGTCTAAAAGTCCGTCTTCACCATCTCCAGTAAGTTTTTCAATGGATTTTCTGATTCCTGGTCTAAAAGTCTGTCTTCACCATCTCCAGTAAGTTTTTCAATGGATTTTCTGATTCCTGGTCTAAAAGTCCGTCTTTGCCATCTCCAGTAAGTTTTTCAATGGACTTTCTGATTCCTGGTCTAAACAGTCCGTCTTCACCATCTCCAGTAAGTTTTTCAATGGATTTTCTGATTCCTGGTCTAAAAAGTCCGTCTTCACCATCTCCAGTAAGTTTTTCAATGGATTTTCTGATTCCTGGTCTAAAAAGTCCGTCTTCACCATCTCCAGTAAGTTTTTCAATGGATTTTCTGATTCCTGGTCTAAAAAGTCCGTCTTCACCATCTCCAGTAAGTTTTTCAATGGATTTTCTGATTCCTGGTCTAAAAAGTCCGTCTTCACCATCTCCAGTAAGTTTTTCAATGGATTTTCTGATTCCTGGTCTAAAAAGTCCGTCTTCACCATCTCCAGTAAGTTTTTCAATAGATTTTCTGATTCCTGGTCTAAAAAATCCGTCTTCACCATCCCCAGTAAGTTTTTCAATGGATTTTCTGATTCCTGGTCTAAAAAGTCCGTCTTCACCATCTCCAGTAAATTTTTCAATAG